TAAGCTAAAATTGCCTGTACTTATGTATGTAACCTTTAGACTTGTTCTGTATCCAAAGGTACTAACCTGCTTAGGATTTATAGAATGTAAATAAATTCAATTCAATTCAATTCATGTCCTGACTGGATGGCAACTGGCTCACAACTAACTAAACTCTAGACTTGTCCTGCTCATAACACCTCAGCACAGACCACACAGAAAACACCTCCCAACAGTTTTTCTACTACTGCAACATGCAGCTGCCACATGGACAGCATAGAGAACACTGCTTCCCCATCATCCATTGGTGCATGTTAGGAATCCACTGAGGCCACTACCTAGCAATGGCTGTTGTTTACAGAATCATTACTTAGCAACAGATCTACATGCTACAATATTTATATATATATATATATATTGTGACATGGCAAACCGTTGTTGGGCAATGGGATGTGGAATGAGTTACCACAAAGACAGACTCTTCATAAATGGTCGGTTGCCAAGTTGCACAACAGTGGAACGAGGTTATGCAACAGTAAGAAAAACGGTGTTTCTCCGTGCCGTGCCTAGCCGAGCCGAAGTGCGCTGGTTGCTATGCAGCGTTCCCCAGCAACGCCTATGTAAACACGGCGATTATGTAACAGGGCAGCGAGGTGCGTTCTCTGATATCCGACTGAGGGTTTATAAGAGAGACTGGAATGCCTGGGGAGTTCAGCAATGTGACTTTGACTCTGACTTGACTAAGGAGTGACACACCCGTGTGGAGGCAGGGTCAAATACCTCCACTGTGACCCTGCGAGTTGTAGGAGGCAACAAAAAGGGAAGTCTCGAATCTGAGACAGTAAAATATGGTCACAAGTACTAACGGCCTTGGACCCAAGAAAGACTGTGCTCGCAAGGGCCAGCAGTACATACAAAAGACAGACCTGTCTTCTTGTCAGAGATGGTGCCCCACAGAAACAAGAGTGTAACTGTCAAACAGTAATAAATACTTGGTCATGAGCTCCAGATGGGACTCGACACCAAGACTGACTGACTGACTGACTGACTGACTGACTGACTGACCGTCAGTCGCAATGTGACTTTGACTTTGACTTGACTAAGGAGTTCAGTTGAAATATAGCAGCAGTTGTGGGAAAAAGAACCGAAGGCGGGGTTAGAAGATTTTATGTGTGATAATCAGTGATAGTGTGCAATAACTAACAAGTCAGCCAGTGAAGACTTACCGTGTGACTTCAAGACTTTATGTGTGCTGTAGTACAGTTAGTATTTGGAGTATTTGGCGAGTATTTGAAGTGAGTGTGAGACAGCCACGGGAAGAAGAATGGAATGCGTGTTATACTGAAGATAGCGTGAAGAGATAGTGTGTAGGGTTTGTAAAGTGTGTAAAGCCACAAGAGTGTCATAAGTAATTGTAGTTACAATCTGTAAGTGGTTAATAAACCCAAGTAACAATCTGAACGGCGTCTTCAGTAGACATGCACGTCACAATATATATATAGAGAGAATATACTCCTGATTACCTGCGTTAATATAGGAAAAAAAGATGTGCAAATAATAGAAAAATATGGATAATTCTAGTTCCAGGTGTGATCAGAAGACCATGGTGGCTGTCGAAAATTGAAATTCTGGGATGCATATAATGTCAAATTTGTTCACTTATCTCGAAAACTGTAAGGCACGTAATGTAATGTGTTCCTTTTTTTAAGACTTTGGTTCAAAACATGTTTTGCTGCACTAAAATTTTGGTGGCTTACGCTTTAGCTATGCATAGAAATGCGCACAGATTTCCACGTACAGTGGCAGTTAGAACTGTCTGGTTTATACAGAAACTGATAAAGATTGCCAATTATTCGTAAGATCATGAAACATCAAATTTCATGAGAATCTGTCTAGCAGTTCCTGAATTGTTCCATGTGTGCAGATAAATGGACAAACTGAGCAAACTATATAAACATTCTGCAGAGTAGCCAATACTTCAGAAGGCGCCCAGATAAACAGTAAACTGGATAATCAACAGGGATAATCACAAGTGTATTGTATTACATATCTTATACATCATAACTACCGTCATTAATTCATGTTAGCAATATTATGTAAAGCAATTACATTATGCTGCTGCCACCACATCAGTTTTTCAACCCTCCTGGTGCTTCCCAGACAGTGATAGGAAGGTTACCCATGCCTCGATGAAATGCCAGAGATAGGTTACCTGCTGTGAAGCCATAGACTCACGCCGGCTGGCTGCAGCAAATGGTAACTGGTACAGTGTACTGCGGTACTGTGGAGGTACCATTTGCATGGATACTGGTGAGACGATACTGTCTCGTCGCACCACCCCTGTTATCGTCTCCACCTGCATAGGCTGGGGAGCTGTGCCTGACACTGGAAACGACATGCTGCTCAGAGCCTGTCAGAGGTGAAAGGTCACAGTGTAATTGGTCTAAACAGTTAGCAAACAGCAGCAACATGCTATCATGATGCACTATGCTACTGATGTGATGCACTGATCTACTGCTGACCAATATTCTACATGACATTGACTAAAAGAAGCTGAGATGAGACTGTAAGACGTACAGAAGGAGGAAGAAGAAAAGGAAAGGAAAGGAAATTTAAAAATAAAGAGAGAACATAAAGATTCACCAATGAATAAGAGAATACAATAGCCTGGATACATTCTGAGAATAAATACCAAAGCTTTAGAATGTGAAGCTAAATGTAAAACGTCCAAGAGGAAGACAAAGATCAAGATGGGAACAACAGTTTAGGAAAGATATCACACAGAAGGAAAGAAGAATAAGGGAGAAAATTAAGAAGGAACAGCTTTGGGAAGACAGAAACAGATGAACAGGTTTTGCTGTTACATAAGCCACATAATTGGAAATGTCAAATGAAGATGACAAACAATAATAATTTTCTGCATGATCAAGAATGAACTGACTGCAGTGTGATGACACTTGCTCTCCACACTATTCATAATGAGGTGTGCTGCAGGTCAAGACACAGAGTGGTCATAAAACAGAGGAAGTACGCAGCAAACAATATACAACATTGTATTAGCTTCTAAACTTTTACTGAAAGTTGGCTCTACTGGTAAGGCTGCTGCTGACTTGTATTCTAGCTGAATCTTTACTGGGGCACCGATATCCTGACTGAGCTTCTTCATGGTTTTCCTCATGCCCTCCAGGCAAATTCCAGGACAGAAGTTTTAAATTAGGCCACAATCACTGCCTTCCACATTCTTTCAATTCACTGTTCACCCATCATTCACACATTCAAGGCTATACAATCTGAGCTACAGTTAGCATCATTAAATAAAAAAATTACCACTTTTCTAATTTATGTACCGTCAGTATGTCAGTGAGGGATCATGGCTAACTTACAGCTCCACTTGCCTGGAGGGACAGAGGCAAACCACAAACATCCTGAGTGAGGTTGTCCTGCTGCCAGCTAACTTGCAGAACCGTGCAACTCCAAAATGTGACATAAGTGGTATCACTATGCTAACTTACTCAGTGTAGTGCACTTCATATCAACACAGTGAAACATGGATTTTATGTTTCTGAATGGACCATTTAAAATACTTACTTACTTACTCATGGAGCTGAGTCCTTCTGGAGGAGCCACCAATTCTGCAGCTACTCAAGAATTTCCCAGCATTTTATGGAACCCAAAATTCATTACCGTGTTCACAAGAGCCCTATCCTGAGCCAGATCTATATAATCCATACCATCCCATCCTTACATTGTAAACCACAAGAGAATTAAAATATTACCCACAAGCAATGATGTATAATATGGCAAAACTATTTGTGTAATAGGCCGTGGAGGCCCACAGAGTTCTGGCACATCAAGGCTCCCACATTTTCTAGATGATTGGCTCACAGATGGTGGTGAGGTTGTCAGCCTTATGTGCCAGCTGCCCCCTACCACCAGGAACATTCCTGGTACTCATTTCTGTTAGAAGCTGAGTCAACACCCTCCTATGGGCCTCCATGGCCTGTTACAGGAATAGCTGTAGCCGTCAACCCCAGGACACAGAGTGGCTGGAAGGATTAGGACAATTGAAAAATCCAGTTACCTCATTGGGAATCAAACCTGCAACCTTCCAGCTTGTAGCATTGTGCCTCAACCAGCTATGCTATTGTGTATTACTTTATTCATGTACACTGTCTGCAGCTCAGATGTTATAGCATCAAATGGCAGGCCTAATGAATTGATAAGGATGATGAAAGACGGATTATAGACAAATGGACGCTAATGTTCATACAAATGTTCGTTACATCACATAATTTGTATGAATGGTGCATCAAGTGATGACAGCAAGATGCAGCTTCCTTATTCCCAGTTTTGTTCATGTTCAATCAGAATCTGCATAATGAGATTTCTTATGCTCTTTCTGCACACAAAGATGAATTTGACAGTATACACCATTTTCGGACATCATGCTTTGCAGTCTGGTAGATGGGTACAAATGTTTCAGAGGAAGAAGCCGACTCAATCTTCAGGACAGAAGATGAATATGGAGGCAGTATATTCCTCCATAATATTTGTACTCATCTATCAGAGTAGACGGCGTCACATCCCAGAAAACTGCAACAGTAACATCCACTTCCACAAGAACCCCAAACCTTGTATCACATGCCAATGCTGGCCATGTTGCATGGCAGTTAAACATGGACATAGCTAAGAGAAATGAAACTGTCCATCTAAGATCTGACATTTCCATGGAAACAGTTTTGGCACCGCATATTCTAGCGGGTACCAACGTGTCAAGGAATATGGTGTCTCCATTTTTGACCTGGAGACAGAGCCACAACCAAGATGCAGACAATACAAAAACTTTCCTTGTCAATACAGCGAACACACTCCTTAAAGCTGCCTTAAGCACAAATGTCAAGATGAGAGGATGAACTGAGCACGATTGGGAAAGGACACAGTTATACTGTCCATCTGTGAAAAAAGAAATGTCTTAAAAGCCAATATTATCAATACTGACTGAAATGAACTAAAAAACTAAACTCTGTGGTCTTAGTCTGCAAGCAAACTATACTGACTGAGCACCCACCGCTTGTCGGCGAAGTTAGTGCCAATTTTTGAGGACAGAGAGTGTCACGTGGTCAGTGCAACAGATCCCCACGGCCGTTAAACTCGGTTTTCTAGACTTGAGCAGCTATTTTCCCATTCAAGTACCTCCTCAATTATGCTCACAAGGATGAGTGGACCCTGTTCCAGACCTACTACTTCTCAGAAAATCAGGTAGCGCCGGGAATCGAACCCGGGACCTCTGGATATGTAGCCAGGAACTCTGACCACTATAAAACTGAAATACACAAACTAAATACTATTATGACCGTTACTTATGAATAACACTTCGGTGACTGTCAAATTTGGGTGAAGTCTTATAATTAATTCATTCACTGATGACATGACAGTGGGTATGAAACAAAGCAGAATTAGCATGTTAGATCTTCTTTAAAGCATCCATTTTATGAGGGTCATCTAGCAACCATGCCCCTCACTCTCAGTCAGCTGGGGAATCTGTGAGGGACAGGCAGAGATTTAACAGTATCAAAGGGAATGATCTGTTCTGTTGCACCCAACAGTAATGCAAGCTGCTGTATTCATGTCAGGAACTACTGTAAAGATGATATGTTTGGAGGGAGTCCCACAGAACTCACTGTCACCTCAGTGTACCTTCCATACAATTCAGAGGAACCACTGCCAACCAGAAAGCTGAGGGACATTATCAACTACCGCAGCAGCAGGACAGAGCAGCTCATCACTGGATCCGACAGAAATGCATACCGCATCATATGGGAGAATACAGGCACCGATCCTAAGAAGTAAGCCTGATGGAATATCTGGTATATTCAAATATGAATATTCTTCATCAAGGTAATAAGCCTGCCTCTGTGACCCACAATAGGGAGGGCATTATCGATTTGATACTAGTGACAAACAAAATAGGAAACCTCTAAGCAACTGACATGACCCTGATGAGCCTTCTGTATCAGATCACAGGTACATATATTTTCAAACAGGTAACACAGCTATGGTTACTTAGAGATCCCAAGAGAGCTGACTGGGAGTCACAGAAAGATGATCTAATGGTAAGTCTTAAGATTATGTTGCAAAAATTTGTTATGTATTAAGACACAGATCTGGATTTTAATCAGCTACAACAATCCATCACCTCACCTTATCACCAAAATTGTCCAGTGAGGACCACTGGCTCGCCAAAGAAGGTACTTTGGTGGAATAAGGAGCTGAGTTGGCTGAGGGTCAAAACAAGAGGGCCCTTTGATACAGCCAACAGGAAGGAAAACCAGACACCAATAAGAAGGCCCTCATCTATAATAACAAAGATAGGAAAGCCAAAAGGACCTCAAGGAGCAGGTGCTTTACTCCCCAGGAAAATTATTTAATTAATTCCTGGCACTTATTTCTGTTAGAAGCTGAGTCGACCCCAGGGCCATAGTGCAGCTGGAAGTATTACATCAATTGAAGAAATCCAATGACCTCATCAGGACTTGAACCCATGACCTTGCAGCTTGTAGCATAGTATGTCAACCAACTATACTACTGCATGCCCCGCGCTCTATACTTAGAACCATGGATATACGTATTACTATGGCTTGGAGGAAGGTAAACTCGACATTCAAACAAACATATGTACATGAAAACTGACTGTACTAAGGCCAATGCTTATCATCCTATCAGCCTGCCACCTTCTCTTTAGGAGACAATGGAGAAGTAAGTAGATAAGCATGTGGTATACTGAGGGAGTAGCCTCCACAGCAATACCAGTATGCCTACCATTCCATAAAATCCACTGTGGTAACCTGAAGCCAGAATTCTATCCAATGCAAGGAAACAGACTTAGGAGCCTTCCTTGGTATAGAGGGAGCTCCTGGGACTCTCCCTTGCTGCAATGATACAGGACACTGAAAGGCATGGCACTAAGCCTGACATTTGCAGGTGGATCTGCTCTGTGCTGGAGAGCAGGAATATAATGACCACATTCACAGGAGAACACCTGAGTGAGCCTACAGCTGGAGAATGTCTGCAGGGGTGTGTGTTATCACCTCTTCTGTGGAGTCTAGTCATGGACAAACTTTAACAAAGACTCAATGATGGTGACTGTTACACAACAGCATATGCAGATTATATTGAAATCCTAATCACTGCAAAATCCATCAGATTGTGTAAGAGGTGCTATAAAGAACTCTGGGCATAGTCCAGCAGTGGTGCAATAAGACATATTCATCTATCAATCCTAACAAGACAGGAACATAACATAACATAAAGCGATTTAAGAAACCAACTATCTTCAGCAAAACACTCCAGCTATCCAATGGGAGTTCATATCTTGGACTAACTTTAGACAAGGGGCTGACACAGAAGAAGCAGTTGGATAAGGTAATGAAGAAGGCCTACAGAGCATTTTGGACTTGCATAGGCAACATTTGACAACTTGGGGCTTGAGACAAAAGGTGATGCATCAGGTATGTACATTATGGTTGTATGACCCACCAAGTGGGACTAGTCTGGTATACAGATGTTTTCAAGACAAATGAAGCCACTGGTGTGGAGTGTATGGTTTTGGTAGGAGGAAGAAGCTTGGGCAATACACCATAGTGTTCCAGGTGGAAGAGTATGCTGTCAAGGCATGTAGAAGTTGAGATTCTAGATAGGGGATACAGAAATATCTGTATTCTATCAGACAGTCAAGGCGCAATCAGAGCACTTACCACATCAACACAAACTGTTCTGGGACTTCCACCAATCCCTTGTGAAACTGGCTGAACATAGCAGAGTTCAACTGACATGGGGGTTGGATCACAGGGGTACTGAGGGTAATGAAATTGCCGATCAACTGCCAAGATTGGGATCTGAATGTCCTTTTATTTGACCTGAACCAGCGTGGGGCAGCTCAGCTCAGGTAGAAAGAAGGTTGTCAGGGACTGGACAACCAGAGACCATAAAAGATACTGGAAATCCTTAACATGACTCAAAACATGCAAAGGGTTTCCTACAAGGACTCCTGACAAAAAGATCTATGGCACTAATAAAACTAAACAGGAACCAGCTGCAACATGTATGATGGACTGTTTATAGAACAGTCTCCTGAAAGGACACCTTTACAGATTAGGACCAAGCAACAATCTCATGTGGGGTATAGCTTATGTAAGGTTTCATCAACTGGGACATTACTTTATGGAACCTGTTAAGCAATGTACTAAACTTCGTTCATAGTGTTAGATTGGTGGAGGGCTGAACAAAGGAGGATGAACAATGGATTGCTAGATGGTCACAGCAAATGGGCTGGTGCAGCCCATCATTATTCAGTCTTCCACTAAGCCTCTCCTCCTCAATTTCCTCCCATGCACTTCAGTCCCATCATNATCTTCCACTAAGCCTCTCCGTCTCCATCTTCCCAAAGCCTCTCCTCCTCAATTTCCTCCCATGCACTTCAGTCCCATCATGATCTTTATCTTTTTTTAGGCATTTTCCTTTCAGTTTCATGTTCAAAATCTTCTCTGGGATTCTGTGTTCATTCTTAAAATGTATCCATATCATCTTATGACACTACTTAGTAATTTGCTTTCTTCATGTTCTCTCTATTTTACATATGCATGTGCAAAGTAAAAATATAAATGTTCTCAATACTGACTATGACTGGTGTGAATAAGATTTCCTGAGAATGAGCAAGACGTGTTAATAATACTCATCTAACCAGCTCTGTAAGGAAAGAAGGCAAGAGATTCAAATGCAATATGAGCATAAACAACTGCAGTGTGATACTGCTGCACCAACTGTGTTAGCTAGTACACTGTAATGCTCTATGCCATCTGCATGTCAGATCAGTCACACATCTGACAGCTGGTCTGCCTATCGTTTGGTTCAGATGCAGTTAATGAACCTTTAAAAACCATGTGTTTCATTACTGCAATGCTGTATGCACATTGCATTGAAATTCTGCAGCCCTCCCCCCCCCCGGGCCCAGAATTAAGATCTGGCTGCCAACCCCACAATACAAGGAGATTAATATCCACAATTACTGAACCATAAAAGTTAAAACAATGGATCTCAACGCTTCCAGTGCATTTGAAGGGGCAGCTACAGCATGCAGACAGCACCATGCGAAACAAAAGTTATTAGAGTGATATTTACTGCAGTGCCAGCCTGGTCCATGAGTTGCATAGCCTCAACAGAGGGAAGAGACACAGTCTGTCAGTATCACATTTTACAGTAATGCAATACATCATTGTAACATTCAATAAAATCTGACGTTCTCACAGCGATAAGTATTAAGACCACAGTCTTCTGACATGTGACACATTGTAATTTAGTTAACTACCAGTATCAATGTTCAAAAGAAAACAGATGCCTCCATTTTCAGTGTAAAAGAGTGAAAATCTCTCTTCTCTCCTTTTCTTCTTCTTACTCTTCTTCCCTCTGCTGGCAAAAGAGCTCTTCATAGAGCCGCTGGTCCCCATGTGTTCACTCGCAGATCCTTCCTCTCCTGCATCACATACCATTCCTTCCTGCTAGGTGCACTGTTCTATCCTGAAGATGGAGACAGCACATGTCTCAAAACAAATCACCCATCTACCAAACTACGTAGTGTCACATTCCAGAAGACTGTGACCTTAAGGCCTTAAGGCATATGATGCATATCCACATGTAAGACAACGTCCCCTTTCTGGTTTCATCACATGTTTGTGTAACAGAAACTGTTCCTGTTCTGATTTGCCCTTTGCATGCCACTGAAATTGAACAGAATGGTACTTCACAAAGTCAATAGAAAGTCCGTCCAGTGTAACAATTTGTAGGTCACTTCTTTATCACTTCTGCCTTACATGTTTCGGTTTAATACAACCATCATCAGAGGCACATAGTACAATCATGAAAACACTGTCGTTGTTTAAGATGTACACAGTTATGTTTGCTGCGTGGACGCTGCTGCAGTACACAACACACAGCACATAGGAAACATCTAACCATAAGCCATACAACCTCAAGCTGACATCTCCCATCTTCGGGATGAATTAACAAGGAGGAGCTTAACATTTTACATCAAATGTTTTAAATTTTTAAATATTTTAACATTGGCGTTTTAACTTGAGGGCAGTTTCGGATGGAATGTGAGAATTGATAGTGCATTCAACAATCCTAGCAAGTGTTGTGCTTTTACACGTCGACATATTGTAGCAGCGTCCACGCAGCAAACATAACTGTGTACATCTTAAACAACGACAGTGTTTTCATGATTGTACTATGTGCCTCTGATGATGGTTGTGTTAAACCGAAACATGTAAGGCAGAAGTGATAAAGAAGTGACCTACAAATTGTTACACTGGACGGACTTTCTATTGACTTTGTGATTGATAGTGTAACGGACCAAAATGAAACAATTCAGAATGGTACTTACTCAGCTACTTATTTTCAATCTTATTACTGTAACTTTTGTAAATGATTCAATGGCTGTGTAGTAATTGCTGCACTGTCATATTTTAGTAACTTGGGGAGGTCATTCCTTATTAAATCAACACAAATCATGACCAAATTCCCCACAAATGAATGATTTTTTGTGAGAGAGTAGTTCCAGTTGAGACTAGTCCAATTTTACTTCTCTATGGCCACTATATTTTGGACATTGGACATCCAAAGTTTTCAACAACCTTTTTCTTGGGGGGGGGGCACAAGTTGTCGCAGAAGTGGCACACCTACTTCCCTAATTGAGACTGAGAGCTAATTTTATGCTTGTCTTGAAGCTAGTAAGGATCAATTTCCAGTGACCTATATCAAGCACAGTGCTAGCACAGACAGGCATTTTTAGGCAAATACCTGGCAGAATTAACTTCCCTAGATTTTAATGTTCTATAACAGAAATCCTAAATTATGTAGCATGAATGGAAGCACTTAACACCAAACCAGAAGGAAATAGGAGAGTGGGAAGACCAAGGTTAAGATGAGAAGAATGTGTGTGGCAGGACATAAGAATTTTGGGTATAAAGAAATGGAGGAATGTAGCATCGAATGGAGAAGAATGGCGAGCAATCCTGAGGAAGGCCAGGGCTCACAAAGGACTGTCGTGCCAGTGATTATGATGATGATGATGATGAATGGAAGCACTATGCAACTTAGAAACATCTCACCTACTACACTGAGGTGACAGAAATATTAAACGTAAGGAACAATGTGACTACCGAGTAAGATGAAAACTAATGGCGGCACAGTGTGCTGCTCAGTAACCTGTCAAGTACTATGACACAACTGTGCAAAGGAACAAGATGGAATAAAGCAACAGCCACTGGCTATAGGTGGGATGAGCAGTGTTCAATTCCAAGCAGGGGTAAGGGCTTAGTTTCTTGTCACCAAGTTCAGATTAGTTCTTGGGCCAAATCATACAACCGGAACTTGGGTTAAAGAGGTTGGAGCATGAAGCTGACCACTCACATCCAACTACAGCAAAGGTCTAGTTTTCATTTACTCAGGGTTTATTTAACAATGCTGTAAGTAGCCCAAGAACAACAGAATACCATCAAATGTTAGGGTGAATAGCAAATAATGAATCAGAAGGGATGTGGAAGGAAGCAGTCATGGTTTAATTTGAGGTATTATCTTGGCATTTGCCAAGAGAGACTGAAGAAAACCACAAACACTTTGGTCAGCCTAGAGGGTGTGCCAGCTGGGGCTTGAACCTTGCTTGTAGAATATACGTATGTTAAGTGTGCTGCTAGTTCAGCCAAGCTGCTTGGTGCCAAGTACACGGAATGCATAAAACTACATCTTCATTTCTCCTGTAAACTTCCACACACAGGGCCTGGCACAGGTTTTATATAACAGTTTTGCATTTTCATCTTCATTTCAGCTTCTTAAAATAATCTTATTCATCCCAGAAACAGGAAAAAGTTTCCTCTGAAATGTCAGTACCCATTTACCATGCTGCACTGTATCGCATCTCAGAACATCCTCATACTATGACAGAGCAATGAAACTGACATGAGTTGCACACATGGGGGGAAATACCATCACAGAATTTCAGTTAGGGCAAGAAATGAAGGCACAGTTGGGAATATCAACAAATCTTTTAACAATATGAGCGTCATTAAACTGGATTAGGATATTATCAGATAGCAATCACCTAAAGTATTGAACTATCACCCTATTTCTTGCAGTTACCGTGCAGCACACCACCATAAAGCATCACTTCAACTTTTAGAATTTAGGCATGTTACTCTTAAAACTGTTCCAATATTTCAGCACATACTGCAGTTTCCATCTCTGCAGTGAGTGTATCTTGTTACACTAACTAGAACGGCCCGGGTTCGATCCCGGGTCTGGTCAAGTGGGATTTGTGGTGGACAAAGTGGTGCTGGGGCGGGTTTTCTCAGAGTACTTCGGTTTCTCTTGCCAATCTTCATTCCAGCAAATTATCGATCACCATAATCACTCAGGGCAGGTACAGTAGGCCAACCAGTGGCCGCTGTGCCGAGTGGACCCTGCTGGACTCCACCCCCCACTAAGTGAATTAAAAAAAGAATTACACTAACGAGAAAGAGTGGTATACACATTTGTTATCACTCAACAGAACATAATTTCCTCCTTTTCACAAACTGCACAAATTTCAAGGACTAAAACAAATACTGAAAGGGATATCATTTTGGAGAGTGATTACTGAAGGAACCTCAACTGGCAGTGAAAGTGAGCTTGCTCAAGACACAGCAGAGGCAGTGGGTACTTCTCTACCTATCCATTAGTCGTGACAAGTGTTATTGAGAACACCTCACACAGCATGGTTAAAATGTGCCAGAGCTCTGTCATGCATTTACCACATTCATGTTCTGACTACCACTGATACATCTTCCAGTAGCTTTGACAGATCACATAAGACAAGATTTCATTTTTTCTAATTTGCTTAGTGGGGGGTGGAGTCTAACTGGGTCCACTCGGCACGGCAGGCACTGATTGGACTATTGTACCCTGCCCCGGGTGATTATAACGATGGAGAATTTGGTAGAATGAAGATTGGCAGGGGAAACCGAAGTACTCGAAGAAAAACCACCCCAGCGCCACTTTGTCCACCACAAATCCCACTTGGCCAGACCTAGGATTGAACCTGGGCTGCCGCGGTGGGAAGCCAGCGACTAACCGATTGAGCTATGGCACAGCCTCAGAGATCTCATTAGTGGTTGCCTGTAAGCCAACGTGGCGAAACATGCAGGCCTACCAAACACTCACCAACAATCCCTGACCACATATTAAAGCTAAACTACTGCTGGGGTCTACACAGCATTCTTTACTCTGTAACTCACAAATTAAATGTTTCCAGACGCATGTTGATATGAGCATTTTTTCTTGTTTTGGTGCTTGGAACGCCTGCCCAAAGTTTCTCCGCACCTTTCAGCTACACCCTGTGTGCGTGTTGTGTGTTTTGTGTTGTGTTGTGGTGTGTTGTTGTGTATTGTTGTGTGTTTTGTGTGTATTGTGTGTGTGATGAAGACAACCACTGCTTGGTAATGACTTGGTAAACAAGTCTCCATAATAATGAATAAAAATGCAATAGAGGAACTGTTCGAAACAGTGTTTTCCATTCAGTTCAACCCGAGGCTATATAGCGAGTTGCCATTAATGTGGGGCTGGTATCCAATAATGATCATGCTGGCTAGGACCAGCAGCAATTGCAAATGACAGACCCTTCTTCTCCTCAGAAAGGGTGCCCCACATCAACCCGCAACTGTCTGACAGTAACTAAAATCTGGTCTTGAGCCTCAGATGGGGGCTAGGCACCAACACAGACTGGTAGACTGACCGTTGATCATAACACAACTTTGACTCTGACTTTTGAGTTGCAGTCAGTAGTATATGATGGCAAAGAAAGACCAGTGAGTAGTCAGTGAAGGCTAAAGATGCCACGAATCAACAGTTAAGCCAGTTAGTTGCAAGACAGTCACCAGCCACTAAGAACGTTAAGCAGAGGATATTGTTCGAATCTGTTACCAGGCAATGACTGGTGAAAACACAGCAAACTGAGAAGACTTAGTTTGTGCTGTAGTGAGAAGAGTGCATGAATTAATGACAGCATTACAATTAATGGTAGTTACAATTTATAAGTGTCTAGTAAATCCAATTACCAATTCCAACCCTGTGTCTAGTCACTAACACATGACAACATATTTTTTATTTATTTAACAAATCTATAACATTTCTGGAAACAATATTTATACTAGGAAAGAACACAACACTATACAATTTGACATCACATTTTCTCTCAAACACAATTTACTGGAACATTCTGACAGGAACAGATCCAAAGATATTTAAATTTACTCAAACCTAGTTATTATATTAGTTAGAGCCTGACCAGGATCAGCAGGTTACAAGGTTTCAAGGGTTTGTGCAAGGTTAGTTCTGCTAAAATGAGAGGAGAAGGAGACTGAACCCCAGATCCATTCCTTCAGCATCATTCAGTTGTGCTGCAACACTCCTCAATCTTTCAATTACCACTCAAGTCATTTTCCAGCCAGTAAAAAGCTTACCTGTTTCAGATGATTCTTAAGGATTGTGCCTTCAGGTTCTGGAAGACTTGGCACATCTTCTGCAGAACCTGATGGAGGCGTGATCTTGTTTGAATCCAGATCTACAAGCCAGATATCATCTGGAAGCCTGAAACAAACAGCATGTATGAACCAAACTGACTGTAAGGCCAGTTTCTGATTCGTTAACTTTTTTAAGATATGAAACTATATGCCATAAAGTTATACAGCTCAAAACATATACTATAAAACTTCTTCAAATGGCATCCTGTGTGCCCTTGCAGCCAAGTTCTTTCTGTTGCAACAGCCCTTATTTTTATAACTTCTTTGGTGTACACAGATAAATAAAATACCTCTTCTTTTGTCACAGAGACACACAAGAAAGTATAAGGCTGTTTATGACTAAATGAAATTCTAGCACAATCTAGAAGCGAACTTTAAAACATCCTCGAACATAGTACAGCTGTTTGATCAGAGTGGCCGAACACATCTCAGGAACAATTTTATCTAAAAATGGGCTAACTAAAAATTGTAATGAATTTACTCTTCAAAAATTCATTTGCTACCATAATTTCATAAATATAAGTATCTGAATTTTTAAATGCCAAGACTGTATAGCTGCAACAGCTCTCAGTGCCATACTCCATAACTTTTAGCTGCATTAGACATTTGAAAGTATTCATACCTGAAGTTTTTCTTGTAAAGCAGGAAGCTGGCTGGGATGCCTATGACAAAGGGTGTGGGTGCCAGCAACAGCTGCAACAAGCAACAGTCATTCTGACACACACAATCACATCACATATTCCTCTGTGTGTGTTTCATTATGGACACAAGCCTTTTGTGACTTCCAGTTATGAACATATCAATCAAACTCAATATATCATCCACATTAAAGAGGTGAGAGGAAAGAGAGAATAATAAATGAAAAGGACACATTAAAGACAAATAAACTGGAAGACAAATTAATAAACAACAAACTAAAAGGGTATGGGCATCAGTATGTTTTAAGCGTCGAGACCAGCTCTGGGGCCCACCGCCCAGCCTCCTATCCAATGGGTACCACAGGCTTTTTCCCTGGGCGTAAAGAGACCGGGGCCTAAAGCTAACCACATACCTCCAGCTTGCCAAGGTCAAAAATGGAGCTATACGTCCACTCCCCCATGTCTTCACAGCATAGTGCTTAATTAATTAAGCACAGCCACAACTTTATTATATTTGTCTATTCCACATGACTGTGAATACATATCTATTTTGTGAAAGACCAAGATCAAGAAACTTTCATTCTGTCAATAATGGAAAGAGCTGGCCACAGTGCGAACACTGTCCCAACCCTCAGCATTCTGCACCCATCTGGTACTGCTGGGATGTGCCAGACACTTGGCTTTCATTTCTCTGCTCATGTAATGATTCTGTACCAATTGTGTGACAAACAATGGATCACATGGAACAATGATTTTGAAAGGCTGGATAAAGAAGCCCCCACCAATGGCATCTCCACCTTATCATGGTGGTGGGGTTTGAGAACTCCTGAAACCCTGAGAGCTATGCCGGCGGTAGCATAGCTACTGGTAGAGCCACCCATGCTGAACAGGTCAAAGGGTAGGAGCCAGACAGAGAGGGATACCCTGATCCTCCTGGTTGGGGGTTGGGTGTGAGGCTAACAACCTCACACTGTAAAAACTAAATTGTTCAGAAATCGGAGGAAAGCGTAGCCAGACAGACCTATTCATGACGACCTGGAAAATGTTTAAAGGATTTGAGAATTGGTGGCAGGACATAAGAATTTTGGGTGTAAAGAACTGGAGGAATGTAGCATCAAATGGAGTAGAATGGCGAGCAATCCTGAGGAAGGCCAGGGCTCACAAAGGGCTGTCGTGCCAGTGATGATGATGATGATGATGATGATAAGGAAGCAGTCCTGGCCAATTTTAAGAGAAAGATGTCACCAATGGTGATGGAAGTTTTACTGTGATCAGCAGAGAAGTTCAATGGGTTGTAGATTCCCATCACATCAAGCACATAAGAGAAATAAAAATGTTCTGCTCAGTTTCCAGAGACCTAACAGAGAACATACAAAGAAATTATGAAATTTAATCTGTACTTTTATAAATATTTTGACATGTTGCGCTAAGGAGAACCACCCCCCCCCACCAGCAGTGACGCGGCGGGTGAGTAAGCGCTCCCCTCCCACCCCTCAGCGGTAACTGAGCTCTCGCGTAATACGCGAGTAATAACCCCGCAATGCGCAACGCGCGGTGACGTCACGAGCGGAGCCGAAGAGAGCCGAGCGGAGCCGAAGATAGCCGAGCCCCGTAACCTGGCAACTACGCAATGCTAATCAACAGCGGTGACGTCACNGATACAAAGCTCCCCTACTGTCAACGTGTTACTACTGAAGACAGAGTGAACTGATTTGCGCATAGGGTTATAAGTCGTGAAACCCTGCAACAGTGTCGACAGATTAATGCGATTAGGGTTATAAAGTGTGAAACCCCGCAACTGTGTGATAAGTAATTTTAGCCGTTATTTGTAGATTGTTAAATAAACCCAATTAACCATCTCTACGGCGTCTTCGGTAACGTAAACACGTTACAATATGTATGAACGCCAAAAATGTTTTCTGGGACTGTACCGGTCATATATGGCTCACTTTCAGCAGAGAGTAAGAACTACTACTTATGCTGAATATGGCGATGCACTGTATCATACCTCTCTACTTAATGGCAATGCCCACGCTCATGCAACTGTTCACATTCTTGAACCCATGAGAATAGGTAATATGGCAGTGGTGGTAATTAATCTCGCTCTGGTCTCTGTAACAGTGATGTAATGTGTTTCGTTTGAGGTACAAACCGGATGTTTATATAATATAGTATGTAAATAAATTCAGTCTTTAAAGTGTTAAGTGAGAAAAGAAGCAGAAGAATGACTGACAGGTGAACTGAATACATTTTCCTTTAATGGAGTCAGGAAATCTGTGACAGTTGGACACATGACCTGAAGAACTGGGTGACTACATAAAAAAATACAGTCATTATAGTGACCAGGCTATGCTTGGACAAAGACAGAACCAGGATTCAATCCCAGCAGTTGTAGTGTTCCACTGGGTACCTGAGTTTCCTTTCCTGGCAGTAAAGTATCTGGGGGTGATACTGATCAATCATATCCATTAACTGCTAGGGATAAACAAAGACTGGAGATGCATGCCCACAGGAAGGGCAAGGCTTGCAAAGAGCAGTACTGCCAATTCTTTACCATTTTACCCAGAGAAATGAGGTATGTCCAACTACTGTACAGTTATTTTAACAAACATTACAATGAAACCGCTCCAAATCTTTTACTTGATTTTCAATTAAAGTGTTTTCTGGTGTAAACAAAATATTTTCCCCAAATAAATGAGCCTAAAATCATCCTCCATATTTCACAACAAAGATCAATGCTATATAACTAAACAAATACTGATTTCCGAGTATCTTATATTCATAAATAAATTAACATGTCATACAATTTCAGTGCACACTTTCCAACAGTGTACTGGCAACTGGTTGTAGGGACTGAATTGAATCATGGTAACTCCTAGTCGGCATGAGCCAAGAGATGAAGTTGGTGACTCTGAAATATAAGGCTGGAATATGAACCCCTTACACAACAATGCAAATTTCTGTAATCTGAAAATTTTATCTTCATTCTGGAATAAATTATTTCTTTGTTATAGCATAGATGGCAGAAAATTACAGGTGTGGGTACTCCATCTACAACAATAATACAGGCTGCTACCATGACTTCTAGAGCAATTCAAACATAAAACAGTGCATAATCCTGCTAAAAGTGCAGGCATAATGATGCAGGGGTTAACAACTATCACAACGCAATCTCCTGTTGCCAGCACTTATATTCACATTGAAGTATCAGGGATCATACAAATACCTGTTCAGCGCAGCTCATGCAGGTTGGCAAGAGTGGTATCACAGGAAACATGTACTCGAGAGGGTAGATCATGGTGACAAACGCCATGACAGACATGGAGAGTGCATTGTAGTCGCGAGACTGCAGTACGAGCTGTAACAAAATAAAATGGTGACTTCGGGGTGTCTAAACTCTAACCCCCACAGCAGACTGTAAATGAATACACCCCAAAATAGTAATACATTCCCTTATATACTGTTATCAATTGTATCTGTGTATGTAATTTGGAACAGCATTAAACCATTTGTCCTCCGCTGCCTCCTTCTTCAGATTTGGCGGTTTTCTCCATGATACTTGTACCTTTCCACTATTCTACAAGGCATCATTACTACATTCACCTGTGGCCATCTCTCACCAGTGAAAAGTATTGTGACACGAGGGCTCAGAGCCATAATTATGGAGCCAGAAGAGATGGCTGTTGTTGGGGAATGGTTCTGTAAACACATCTCCTTAGCAACGGATATGCATATGCAACAATAGAGAAGTGATGGAAGAGGTATTTTCTGTGGGGTCTGCCCCAAGGCTATATACAGGGAACCGAAACTAACAGTAAGTTGAAGCCCTTTATATATTTAATACATTCATTATCATGTTTAACATGTAAAATGTAAATATCCTTTATGTTATGACAAATGACTTACTATTACAGACAATGACTCTGACAAAACACAGACCCGTCCTCTTGTCAGAGAGGGCGCCCCATAATAACAAGCCCTAAGCTATCAAACAGTAACAAATATCTGGTCATGAGACCCAGATTTGGCTCGACACCAAGACCGACTGACTGACTGACTGACTGACTGAATGACCGTCAGTCCAATGTGACTGACTTGACTTTGACAGTGAGTGGTTCTAAGGGAGACAGTCTGAGTCTGACTACACGCATGGCAGCTGTCAGCCAACAAGGGCATGAGCCGCTGAACACAGAAGCCGATAAATCTACAATATTGAGAGCCATTTCCAGGTAATGCCTAGTGAAGAAACAACATACTGAGCACACTCTGTGCATGCTATAGCGAACTGTAAACAGGTGAATTAGCGACAGCACTATAATTACCTGTAGTTACAATTTATGTGTCCTATAAATCCAATTACCAATTCAAAACACATGCCTAGTCACTAAACATGTGACAGCATTTTTGTCAGGAAGTAATCCACTGCAACATGCTGCCCACAGTCCTGGTTATGCCTCTTCATCAGTGTTCAAATGCCTATGACTAAACAGAGCAGTTTCCCTCAACATCTAGAACTCTGAAGAGTTCTACCTTCCAGGATAAAACACCACGCAGATCTAGAACTCCATTTTCAGAATCACTTTTTCAAAAGATCTGCATGGTTTGAAACAGAACCGTGGGTACCTTGTTCTCCAGCAGTATCAGCATCAGCACTTTGAGGCAGATGTCCACACCCAGGAGCTCCAGTGGCAGGTGGAGGGGGAAGTCCACCAGAGAGAATCGTGTGTGGTCCGGCAGTGCAAAGATGAGTGCTGGATGGAGTGCGGGAGACAAGATTTCTACCTGCAATCAATAAAATGTATATGATTCATGCATTACAGCAATATCTATATCCTACCAACTCTCTGACCCAGTGTCAGGACAGAAGTACAGACATACCTCAACTCTTGTTTTCCCTGGTACCGGTACAGGAACGCTGAGCAGTCTGAGAATCCAAGTCTCAATCTCTCGCACGTCATGCAGAACAATGGAGGACATGCCTTCATAAGCACGTCCTGTTAGTACACTCCATACCGTGTCCCTGCACATCAATATTCAGTCATTCAACAGCAAATGTTTCCATTCTAATATAATGCTTAAAGACCATAGAAACCAACATCATAAATCCATTAGTTTACCTAGAGATTTGTCTGGAAGCACCCACACGTCGTGGCGATGTGTTCTCATTGCAGGCATCAATGAGTCTCTTCAGTATGAATAGGCACTCACGGAATATTGAGAAGAAAGGATGGTGTGACAGCAGACAGAGGGATGTCAGGGAGTGGTTCCGGACCCTCTGCAAAAGTCAGTAATGCCAACATGCAGACATGTTACAGAGTGATTTATTATGATCAGCAAGATTATTATGAAAGCAGCATGATGTGTTCATACAATCTGAAATACATGTCATTAAGTTGGAATAGAGTCAAGGGCCCTGTATCTTCCCAATACAGCAGAAGGGGGAGCTCACCAGATATGGTGGGGTGGTCAAAATATACTGAATTAGGACCAAAGGACCAGATATACAGAAGAAAACAGACACATGTCCTAAAGAAGAGAAGAGCTGAACTGTTGGTTACAGCTTGCTCATGTAACCCATACATGAAATTAAAACATAATGGAACAATTATAAATTTTACCCATAAGAGACTTTACAGAACAGAATGTTAAAAAATGAACTATACCACATTCCCATGAAGTACCAACATAGGTGAAAATGCTGCAGAAAGACATCTAAAAAAGCAAGATACCAGAGTGAAAGACTGTAGCAAGTCAAGTAATTGGTTGGCAGGAAATTTTGGATTCTATAGGATGCAGGAGGGGAATGCAAAAGTGAACCTCAATTCCCATTGGCTCACCATGATACAGAATGAAACAGGATCTCACACAAATAACACGGCAGAGATGGTGAAGAAATGGTACCACAACTTACTCACTGAACATTCTGTATAAACCAACAGATCTGAAGTAGATATTTTTGTGAAAATGTTTTAAGAAACACTCATCCAAATACAATTCTGCCTCACATTAATTGTCATGTATCAATACCTACTACATGCCATTGAAAAATGCTTCAAGCTGTAATGACTCACCTGTCTTCTTCGGCTCGCTCTTGGGGAGGGGGAGTGGGAACCCCCACTCTCTGAGTCATTGCTTGGGGCAGTTACTCCAAGCCGGGGGCCAGACAAGGAAGACTGTTGATGGAGACCATGCGATGTCTCCGAATCACGCCGACTTGATGGACAGTCTCGGTCTGAGTCGCTGGGAGCCATGTTGCTGCTGCGGTAGTCGCTGGTGGTAGGGTCATACCACAAGACACAACTATGAGACGGTCTTTCTGACCTACAATACACACTACAGCAAGCACTACATGGCAAGGGCAGAAATATGAGTCCTCTATCAGACAAACAGAATGCACAACCTGCAATACAAGCCACTAACAAACAGTACGCAAGACTGGGGATGAGACTGCACTATCACACACACAACATCCTTCAAGTCTTAAGATTCCCATCAATGTTTTAGTTCATTGCACTTTAAACAACATTATGGTGTACGTTATCCAAGCTTCACATTCTGGAGGTGACAAGTGTGAATCTTGGCCCAGAGCCCATCCAGATTGTCAGAGTATGAACAGCAGTCAATATTAACCCTTCCCACATCGTAGACAATATAATATGCAGTGAAACTATGCCATCATGTCATTTCTGATATATTATTTCTGCAAGCACACTTCCTCCCTCTGTCACACATGACATATTCCAGAATATACCACTCATTTATGTTGCTCCTATTTTAGTCCTTGTGAATGATCCTAGATGGCAGCATTTGATTTTTTATTGTATCAGGCTAATATGGCTGAAGAAATACAAATTAAAAATTTTAAAATTGGATGAAAAGTGAATAGAACTTAGGAATTTCAGTACATTTTTGCAACAGAAAAGGATTAGACTGCAGTCTTCTGGAACGTGATGCTTCATGATTTGCTAGATGGTTGCTAACATTTCAGAGAAACCTGCTGCCTTCACCCTCAAGGTCCCATGAAACACTGCGATGACCTACCCCACCACATGACATCAGACCTCACAAGACCAAAGCCTTAATATCATATATCCTGTACTAATGCCTTACAACAGGCATGAGCACATAACTAGGCATTCTTTCCAACTACTCACTCATGTGATGCTATATGAACTATGCAGTTCAAATAGCATTGTTAAAGAAATAGAAAAAAGAATGTATTTTATTTTATTTGACTTCATTTTATTTTATGTACAATGAAATTCATTCCCAAATTTACAGTGTGTCTATCAAGTATGCTCAGACCTTCCACCAATCCACATACACACAACACACCTCAAGAACCACTGGACAAATATTCATCAAATCTGATACTGAAGAATTTTACAAAGAAAAGTACAGCCACTTCATTTTTCAATTAGCTTGGACAATGTAAGTTTTGAGGTTTTCAAGGCGATGACAATGAAGAAAGTCGTCTTCTGGGTTTAGGCACCGTGTATTCTTCGTTTTGGCCGACGTTTCAGAGGAACGTAGCGCCTCCATCTTCAGAGCAGTTGAATGGCTTGGANTACAGCCACTTCATTTTTCAATTAGCTTGGACAAGTTTAATGGCCACTTTACATGATGACCAATATGCATTTCTGCGTGTATTTATCAGATAGGGAAATGTTATGAACAAAAGTAGTAGCAAACAATGCAATACATTTTATGTCCCCATAGACTTTTGCAACAAGTTACAGTTATTTTGATAATTATGCAAAATGTACACACATTATCATACATTTCCAAACTTACACACTCAAGAATCAACAGTAGGCTCACAAACAAAAATCCAAATTAAGAAAAAAATGAAACAAATGGAAGTCATTATTGGCTTTGGGCTGTGTTAAAATCATGTATGTTTCATTCTTTTAATGTAGTGGCTCTATTACTACATGACTTTGATACAAGCATTAAGAAGGATTTATATGTCTTAACTTTCATCCAGTGTGTGTAATAATAATGAACACTGAACAATTAATACTGATTGTTCATTCATTCAGTTCTGATTTGTCACCAATCCTAGTACCATCACCAAACAGTGAACAGTTGCATGTGACTTTAATGCTTGTTTATTTTAACCTTTAAACGGACTTCTGAAATGGTGGTAAGCTTGGGCTGGACGGAGTTTATTTAAATGCCCACTGCTGGTGCGCGTTTAAATGCCTGTTGCTACTCTGCGTTTAAATGTCCATTTCTGTTAGGGCACTTAAATAATTTTAAGCATTTTTTTAAAAATGCTGTATCTAACTAAATTTTTATGATAAATGGATGGAATTAACTTTGTTTATATCAGCAAAGAACATAGTGTCGTATATTATAATGGAAGATTTGAAAAATTTTATGCAAAGACTTATACTCCTGTTTTCATTCTTTTTTCTTTTAATTTCAATGCGTACTGCAAAAATGGTTTCCCAGTTCTTCACAGAGTTGTTCTGCATTACAAATTCATTTCTGTTGGTAACACTTGACAAATTTTAGCAGTCCCTGGTGTCATAAAACAGATGGAAGCAATAAAATCATTTGATCTCCTGCTAGCACTGCTTACACTCTTCGGATTTTCGAATCTTTTGACTAAAGACAGAAGAATGAAAGAATGGCTATTCAAGAGAAAGCTAGAGGGGTCCCTTCTTCAATGCTAAGACCTTCCATTATAGCTGCAAGAGATTATTGCCCTTTCTAGGGTTGTGAACAGACAGTTCAATCGTGGCTGAGATACATAGTGCGATCTGTTTTCTGTGCATTCATAGTGAAATCGAATACTGTATTTTCATTTCAGTCTATATACACAACAAGCAGATAACAACAAAAAAGTTATGTACATCGAATTTTACTATATATTTTTAACATATCTGCAGAATCTGCAATAAAATTACTGGCTCATGGATGAGTTTGGGCATAACTCATACGTATATTCTTTTTTGCTGCTGTTCACTTAGGTTATCATTTTAATTCCTCTATTATGGTTTTACTCAAGTCTGTTTGGTAATTACTACATTTAAAAATAAATATTTAGGACTGTGCATGCACTTCTGCTAGTGGCGTGTGCACGCACTTCCATTAGCGGAGTTTAAATGTCCAACTGGCCAAAACGGGGTACTTTGGCCATGACAACCATACTCATCACTGGTCTGATCGGGGCACTTCAGCTGTTAAAGGTTAAGGGAAAAGTTCAACACTTATAATTATTTTGTTTCACTGAATGTGCCTGTTAGGTGTAAACTATCTACACTTACAGACTTTTCTGTTTTATGTTCACACACACAAAATTATAAGTATGAGAGCTTCTGTGTGTCCATGATTGGTTCTAAGAATCAAGTCAGATAGTAGTTCTCTTTGTTGGTCAGTCTCCATCATTAGTACTTCAGCTGACCTTCAATATTTACACCAAAGTATGAACCTCATTACAAAGTTTATCATCTGTGTCTCATCCATAGATTCCCTTGTGTTCCCAACTACACTTGCTTTCCATCTATTAGTGTTACCCTAGGCATCCCAGTGGATGGCCCAACTACAAGACAAGACTCTTGTCAATAGTTTTCAAAAGAAAGTTTCGGGTCACTAACCTGGAAAAGGCTGAGTCAGAGCTCTTCTCTATGCTCTTTCTCCAAGATTCTCGTCGAAAAGTGGATGAGTGCCGATCCCTACGAGTGCCCCCCAAACCCCCACCAGGAGGGACCCGCTCCATGGGGCGATAGAAATTGACACAGATCCCATATCGACTCTTCCCTGTATAAACGTAACAAAAACAAATACAATACCAATCAATTTTCATGAAATTACTGGACCTACTCACTTCTACTTCTTCTTCTTTAGAATCTAGACATGTCTTTTAGAAGTACAGTAAACCCTTGCTAATCCAGTTACACTTAATCAAGATCAGAATATGAAAAATTAAAAAAAAAAAGTATGTTCACAGTTGGGTACATACTTTACAAGACACGTGGCATTGAGGAAGGCAGATGAGTCACTTATCTGTTTAGACAAAACTTGACAGTTCCTTCAAACACGCATTATTACATTCAAAAACAAGTCCAACTTCTGAGTCTTCTATTAATGGGTAAATGTACTGCTTCTTTATAGTTTTCAAATAAAGGCTCCACAACAATATTTTATTATCTATCTTCATCAGCACTACTTATATCGTTAAATTTTTCCATTTAGTTGTGTTCTAAGTTTTTCTTGTCTTTTAGGGCTACCTTCTTCTTCACTAATGTGAATTATCACTTAGTCCAGATGACCTCTCCCCTTACCACAATTACTCCTGATTAGAGTCGGTTTACTGCAGTAGAACAATGTCTCTGCTCTGCGTGATTCAGTGTGTTCACTCCGAGCCGAAAAGAACTAAAGGGTCTAACCTGTACAGAATGTGAAAAGGGGGATGGGGTGGAGAGGAGGAGAGTGGTCATCATCATCGTTGTCGTCTTCGTCATCATATGCTAAAAATTTTTGGAAGTCTGATATCCAGATATTGGTGGCCATGAGCACGTGGACTTGGCATTTCCTGGCACCCTGCTGTCTACACACAATTCATTTCGTCTTCCTACTCCATGTCCAGGGTAAGCTTATATCTTACATTTTATTGAATGCAAGTCAACCACCCAAGTCTTTACAGAAGGGTCACCTTACTATTAATTAAATTGCAACTTGTTGGCATATTCATGGGTTCTGTTTGGTTCTCAGAATCATCAGCAGCAACTAATTAAACTTCATGATGGTATGCTTTCATGGGGTGGGGGCAATGGAATTGACTTTTATAAGAGCTGGGATAGCACAGTCGGTACAGCAACTGCATAAGGACAGGATGACCAAGGGGTCAGAGTTCAAGTCCCGGTGGGGCCAAGAATTTTCATGTCTTGAGGTCGTCCAGACTGGCTCTGGGGCCCACCCAGCCTCTATCCAATGGGTACCAGAGGATTTTTCACCAGGTGGGGGCGTAAAGTGGCCAGGGCCGCCAACTAGTATCAAGGTCAGGAAAATGTGGGTCTATATATCCACTCCCCCATACGCCTTCACGGCATAGAGCTTAATTAGTTAAGAACAGGGACAACTTTACCTTACCTTTATTTGTAATGTACAAATATTACTACTTTCAGTTTCATTCTTTAAACCCTAAAAGCATAGGAACTACTGTATCTAGAAGGTGTGTGTAGTGTGACAATGTGTAAGGTAAGTACTGAATATTTAACACCATTTGCAAGAACTTCAGGGTCCAAAGTGCTAGCGTTTCCAGGTTGTCATAATCAGTCAAACATTCAGGCAATCATACTCCAGCCTAATAATGAAACCATAAAATTTTCAAACCAAAAGAAATTAAATGGTTCCTTGTTTGTCTGGGCAAGTGGACCCCTGATAATTCTCAAATGTTATACACTCTCAGAAAATCACATTGCAAACCACTTTGAAATGAGCCTAATACCTTCTAAATGCAAACAAAAGAAATGTGGTCTATTGCCACACCCTATGTTTCTTCCATGATTATAGAACTTTGTAGGACACCTACCTGAATCCTTCTCTGTAAGGGTGAACACAAATGATGTGGCTTCACGCAATACTGTGCGTCGTGGTCCGACAGACACACATCCTTCAGGCTGACAGAAGTAAACCATGTCCAGCGGTAATGGGAAGTCCTTGTGGTCCTCTGTGGGATACCTCCGCAAGAGCTCAGGTGCCTGCACAGGCGGGGAAGAGCCTGCTGTTGACCCAGTGCAGGCACGTGCAGCTCCTTGTGGTCGTGCCCCCACGATGGCAAGATAGTCCACCAGACGAGGACATAGGAATTTCTTCTGAATGTCACTCATTGTTACAGTTCCAAACTTTGTCTCATAAGTAGAGTCAACAGTTCACTAGCCCATGACAAGATACAACGGTTAACATGAATGCACTTGAACAGCAATAAATAGAAAGGCAACACTGTCATTATTTCACATTATGTTGCACAAAGTGAACAAGCATACAGCCATTGTACAATCACTAACAGGTTCTGTCGCTGGAGACAACTAAATTTTTCACAGAATACAAACATGACTAATTACTGTACAATATTCACATATGAAGAGAAGGTATAAATCATTTATTGCAACATGGATGGCTGTACAAAACAGTTCTGTGAGGGAGTGTAGGGTCACCGCAAGATAAGCATTTGATGGAGAAGGGCCACAGTCCATCTGATGTCTCTTTCTCCAGTGCGGCTGAGTCTCTGCAGAGTCATGACATTGACGAGATGAGGGTCACAGGAATTCAGCTGTTTTCATGCTGCTGGAAAAAAACATGCAAAGGTCAATGGAACCATAGTATAACTGAATTAAATCTGTTATCTGACTGTAGAGTTCATGATCCATGTATTCATACTGGAGACACATATGCTAATCTTGTGCTAAACAATCAGCTGGCACAATCTGATTTTAGGACAATTCATAATTTCTAAAAACAGAAACTGAGATGTGCTATTTTATCCTGATCATCTAAGTGCCGTAAAACCTTAATTTTGCAAGAATGACAACACAAATTCTCCTTCAAAAATTGATGCACAGACATGTTTGAAATTCCTAGGGCCAACAAATGTCACAAAGCTGAGCAGGACTGACTTTTTGCACTGCTTTCCTCACCCTTCTGATATTCTCTGGTCTGGGAATTATATGTGCACCACCAACAAATCTTGAAGTTCCCGTCAAACTGTATCCTGCTCTGAAATTCCTTTGTGTCTCAGGACACCAAGTTACAGAATAAAAGCTCCTTCCTTTCATAAAGAGGCTGTTCAAAAGGAATCTTCAACTCCAAACCCAGATTCTTTCACAAGCCATCCCCTACTCCACTTTCCCCCCTAGAGCAATGCATACCAAAATTCTCAATCCCACTGGTGGACCATGTACACTGAACTTCAGAATTCAATAAACAACATATGGATAAAAAAATGCATTACTAGAATTTATTCTCCTCCTAATTTCAACATGGATCTTACTGCTGTTTCAAATGCTGGAAGTTTTAAACACTTCTGAATTAGGTTTGTGTTCTCACACAGGTGAATACTGTGGCGTATATACCCACTGCTAGGTAACGACCGTGAAACTAAAATGAGACAACGGCCAATGCTAATCAACAGCTTTGTAAATACGCAACAGTACCGGAGCCATTGCTAGGAATCGGCCTGTGAGCAACAACAGAAGTACTGTTGAAAGTAGTGTTTTCTACAGGTCTGCTCCGAGGCTATATCACTTGACCGACTGAACTGAGGTAGTCTTTTTTAATAAGTGACAAACCCATCTTCTTGTCAGAAAGTTGTTACATAAGGGTTATGACCGCAATGGTTCAGTTGATTCTCAAGGGGCTTACTACCAAGACAAACTGACTGGTGGTAAACCTCCGGTCATAAGTAACCCTGACTTCGACTTTGGTGTAGCTTTTTGGTTACAACCATTCAAGTGACTAAGATGCCGTTGTAGCATAAGATATGTAAGAGAGGCATGATCTGCTTTGCAAAGCCTGTAGTGAGAGAGAACTTGAATATAATGCAAAAGGGTGAATTTTCTAAAACATGCTATGTGTGTGATATGTACACCTGATGAAAGGCCAAGGATATTAATAAGAGATAAACTCATCTTCTCATCAGAGAGGATGTTACATAAGGACTATGACTGCAAGGGTTGAGTTGGAAAAAAAAATCCCAAGTGGCTTGGCGCCAAGATGAACTGATTGGGGGTAAACCACCCGTCATATAGTGACTTTGACTTTCAGGTAGTTCAGTTAGTGCAGTCCAGTGTAGTAGAGCTAATGCAGTGGAGTGATGAGTCAGCTGGTGAATGACTTAGTGAAGAGTTCAGCAGTTGGAAGCAAGTTAGTTCAGCTCAGGAGCTACATAGTGACAGCCAGCAAGGACCTGAAGTCATGAACACAGAAGTTCAGGGATGTACAATGTTGGAAGACTTTATAAGCCAACAACTGGTGAAGACACAGCATACTGGGATGACTTATTACATGCTGTAGTGAACTGCAGTGGGTGTGTGAGTTAGTGATCGCACTGTAGTTACTTGGGGTTCTGTTAAGCGTTCAATAAATCCAATTACCAATCAAAACCCCATCTATAGTCACTCTATCAAGTGACAGTATGGTAGACTGAGTATAATTTTAATTACGTTATGAACACTTCCTTCATATAGTGCTTACTATAATGACGTACAGAGGACATATAAAATGTGCCATGCCCGAAAGATCAATGTCATTGTAAACAACAGAAGTTTCCATTTTTTGAATGATTCATCAAGGAACTGAGCTTTGTGTTATATTTAGAGAATCACAAGTTTAATATTTCAGAAATTAATAAAATGTATAGAAAATACTGAATTCCAGTTTCATTTGGTACTGGACTGCAAAATGGTCACATACGCTTTTAAAAACATCTTATTAATGTTGCAAACACTAGATGACCATTGTGTAAGATTTGAGGCTTTCACGGCGGTGACTATGAAGAAAGCAGTCTTCTGGGATTTGGCACCGTGTATATGTGGTGTTAACCACAGTCTGCTTTTGCCGGTTCTCACGGTCTCTTTGCTCGCAGATTTCTTATATTTTTTCTTCTACCCTGAAGATGGAGGCGATACGTTCCTCTGAAATGTCGGTTAACACCACATATACACGGTGCCAAATCCCAGAAGACTGCTTTCTTCATAGAGGACCATTGTCAGAACTCATATTTCATATTAAGGTGGTCCAAGTTTCAAACCTTATCCTGGAGACTAACCAACTACATTGGTATTCCTGTAATGTATCTCAATTCATCCACTTCACAAAATTCCCATTCACAATTCATCAGCCACAGACACCCTGCCAAAACAGTACACATATTATGGAGATAAGCCATCATTAAGTAAAGCACAAAATAAAGAGTATGCCCTTCTGAACATAGCAATGAACCTTCAGGTTCCATATAAGGCATGCAACTTCTTGTGTACCTACTGGGCAACTATCAGCTTTTCAACAAGGGATATGCTCCATGGAGTAGGTTACTGGATAAATTATTTTACAAATAAAGTATATATATGTGTTCTACAAACCTATTAGAGAAACGAGCACACAATAACTGAACTTGAATGAATAATAAGAAAATACTTGAAATTAAAATAAAAAATTACGACACAGCACGCACGTAAACTACACGACTAATAATAAGAACATAAAATCAAGAGAAATAAACGACATCTCCCACCATCAGGAGGAAAACAACATGACACAATGTCGGCTCAAGATATTTTAATATAATAACTAATTTTTTACATGGAAATTTTAATACAATTTTAAATATATTGGGAGTATACTGTATGGAAAAGTGAACACAATATTGCGTGCAGTGAAAACCCCCAGTCAGAATAACCAGTAAATTTACACTTCAAGAAGGGCCATTGTGAGTGCCTAAGACAAACATCAAAACCAACTGTGATAACAAAATTTATATAGAGAGCATTAGTCATATCTAAAGTGCATATTGTTAAAATATCTTATGTGACAGTGTTTCCTTATCGTAGTGGTGCACCTCTGAAGATGATTCTTTTGAATCGAAACATGTATGGTGAATGAGGACTGAAGTGTTGTAAACTCGTATGTCACACTGGACTGAACTTTTCATTATCTACTCTGTAATTAACAGTGTGACGGACCAAAATGAGACAAGTTAAATTAAGAAAATACTTAACTATGAAGTTATGATAAATAGTGAAACTACAGCTCACTGTTGGAACTAACACAGAACACCGGTACATACCATGGCAGTCTCACCATCTCCAGAGCTCCACCCTATAAAACTACCAACCCTAACTCCAAAGCCTCTACCCTTCAAAATGCTGACCTCATTTCCCACCCCTTTCCAGCCAGCAGATCAATAGCAAGCAGCAGCAGATGGTGGGGGGAAGGGGGGGTTGAGGGATGCCCTAGTCAATACTGACACACTACAGCGCATTATAGTATGAAAATGTGTCACTTCACTCACGGGAAAAGACCAAATTGAGGCCACTATGGGCTCAATCTCATCTACACAGGAAACAAAGGGTCCTAACAAGTCACGTAAATTGCAAATGTGACCTGATCTGTGAATAAGCACTGCAGCTGAAAGACAATGAATATATTATGTGGATGGAATCAGTTCTGACAGCAAAGCCTTGAATTCAACCACAATCACCAGTGTACTTCTACAGCTCTTGACAAGTCCTATTATAAATGGAAGTACATTTGCATTGATAATGATCATAATCTGGATCTAAATTATTGCCAGACAAATTAAATGAAACCTTCAGTGAGACACACAGCGCATGTGCAGGGAATGAGCAATACTTACAAAATTGTTGCTCAAGAAAAACCAAGGGTATGGACTATGTGAAATACCTGGTCATAGATGGGTGATAACATTGATCTGTTAAAGGTCTGTGTGTTGAATTAACCACCACAGCATGAAGATGTATCAGGAAGTGGAGGTATGAACCCACGTTTTCTCGACCTTGGTGAGTGGTCAGCTTCATACCCAGGAAACTACCCCCAGTATCCAATGTAAGGAGATTGGGTGTGCCCCAGGGCCGGTTTGAACGCTGTGAAGCAGAGAAAAATCTCTCACCCTTATCGGGAAACGAACCCCGATTCCTCGGCCGTCCGTTGCTATACCGACTGAGTTATTCCGGCTCCTTCACTAACAATGATTTTGTATAAACGTAATTTTTATGATGTGTTGGATTCAACTGGCTCAGGACGTGGTCTGCTGGTGAACATTCGTGAAGCGCTGCTAGTTCCCGCTCCAGTTGTCGGAGAGAGTGACAGATTGCAACGTCACGCCTCCGACAATATTGATCGCCTAAGGGTGGGATGTAGCGTTCACACAAACTGACTTCGGAAATTTAGCATTACTGTGGGCCTGGACCTTGTCCGTCGTCCAGCATGAAGTCCTGTTATCCCGTCCACAGAAGCCCCAAGAAACTGGTTAGGGAAGGTGTGCATAACGTGTGGATGCGTTCCCCACTTATAATTATCTTCAAAACGGCAAGAATTTTCTTACTGAACATAAGATGTGTGTTTATTACAGCTCTACAACTTCTTTTCTTTTTTCAGAATGTTTCTCGTCCCGATAAATATTCGGCGAGTTACTCTCGAAATGGTATCGCAGTCGGTATAACGACTGGCTACGGGCTGGACGATTTACTAGTTCAAGTCCCGGTAGAGGCAAGTTTTTTCTCCTCCCTGCGTTGTCAGACAGGTTCTGGCGTCCACATAGCCTCCTATCATATGGCTACCGGGGTCGTGAAGCTGACCACTCACCTCTAACTAGTGCGAAGTCAAGAATACGTGGATCTATATCTTCAATCCCCCATACATCTTCATCGCGCACTGCTTAGTTACTTAAGCAAAGTGGCAACCTTACCTCTTACTTTTACCCTAGAAATGCGCGCAGCAAAGCAGTCAATCTTCGTGTAAGGTGCCCGCCAGTTCTTTTAACGATTTTAGCTAGGGTTGCCAGATTTTGTAAAATAAAAAAAAAGGAGTGATGTCTCGTTGCTTGTTTATAACGACATTTTTCACAACTAATAGGCTATAAAATATATATAATCAACATACTACATAACTTACAAAATTCTACTACACATCTGTATTACACAGGCCTACTACACATTTATAGAACAAAACAAATATTACATAGGCCTTTTACATATTTATAGAATGCACAAAATATTACCTAGCACACACTTGTAGAACACACAAATATTAAATACTATATATTTATAACTTTCAAGGGCTGGTCGATCAGATTCTGTTAATTGTATTTCACTGAACTCTTAGCACTTTTTAATAATTGAACATCACCCTTTGAAAATTTATAAAATTCTGAAGAGGACTTGCTTTCATAGCCTTGATTAAATATGTTGAGCATCTCTTTCTTGTGTCACTCCACTTACTTTTCATGAATGAAAAGATTCGCTCCACAACATAACGAAAGAAACTATAACAATGTCATTTTCCAAGGATTACAGAAATTGTATGATAATATTTAACCCGGGAAATATAATTCGCAATGGACTTAAATAAAAAAAAAACGGAGGATTATCCACTCCGGGTAAACAATAAACGGAGGTACAAAATTTGGGTGAAAACACGGAAGAATCCGGGGAAAACGGAGTATCTTGGAACCCTAATTTTAGCCGAAACTGGAACGTGTCCACAAATCTGAGCACCCGTTCACCGGTTCTAGAGTCGATACACGTGAACAAACGAGGACTCTGTAAGAATTACGGAACAGCAATCGATATCACTTACAGTCTACCAAGAAGGGGTCACTTTTGAAACAGAACTACGCAACAACCTCCCACTAAACGTGTATGTTTATTTCCTAACAGTAATAACCAAAATAGTACGGGAAGAATGCATTTTTACTCACGCCTTCTACCATGTAGCTTAATTGATATTACTAAGAAACTGAAGCTATAATTATCGGTACATGAGACTACAAATTTTGTACATTATAGATGCACCTTGGCAATTTGCCAGTGGTGCGGAGGACCTTGTCCTGCAGGCGCTACAATTTTAAGAAGTAGGTGTCTGCTGCCGCTAATTCCCAGAGGCAAGCATAAGTCATTACTGAACTAATCATTGCTTTATGGAGGGTTAGTTTGATGTTGGCGCTTAAACGCTAACTTTTGAATAGGGAGTTGATTCTAATAAAAGTTCTGAATGGCAGAAAGCCTCGACACGAACTGAACAGAAAGAAAAACGCTTCCAACGGTTAGTCCACTGTTTCATGTTACGCAGCCGTTACCTAGCAATCGCGGTTTCTCTGGCTCCACAGTTTTACAAATATGCTACAATATTCTTATTTGCTCCACTCCCTGTTCTCTAGGATGATCTTAGGGCTCCACATACACAGAATGAAACGAAATTCGACTGCAAGCTCTGCCTAGATTCCTTGTTAAAAAAAGAACACGTCGAAAGTACAACTTGTGCCCTGTAACGGTTAGTTTTCAGGATAAACTTCAAAGTAAAATGAGGCAAGCAATCAAATGATGAAACCACCGGCGTCTCCTAATTAAAATCAATGTCCGAAGCGGCCTCTGTCCATTTCGAGGCAGACGGCAGTGTGCCGCACGGCACTGTCTAGAACACAATAGGCTGCCATCGACCATTGTCACAACGGTCACAACTACCTGAAGTCTTGCCATGAGGTCTTCGATAGTCCTTGGAGGGACTGCATTAACGTGCTCCTTCTGTTGTCCCCACAGGAAAAAAAATCATCGGAGTTCGATCCTACGATACAATCGGCCCTACGCTTCCAGTCCACCTTCCTGAATACAACACATTCAACGACTGCCGGCCATCTCCCTCCAGTTCCAACTTGTATATGCAGTACACCGCAAATGTCCGATGTGGACGGGACATGTACAAGGAATGTCAATTGGGATTTATAAGAGGACATGCATATTTATAGTGTATATTAGTAAAACTGCAGTGTAGGTACAATTGTGGCTTTAATACTTCACTACCGGCGAAACTGCACATGTAAATAATACTTTTAAAAAAATGCAAGTAAAGAAATCTGTCTGGTCCCTTGAGTGATCTTCCTGCATACAACGCACCAAAGAATTTCTAAGTATCATTCTGTCTGGGAGAGCTGCACCCGCGGTTAATTGGGAGTCCACTGTGTGTTTGTGTGTGTGTGCGTGCGTGCGTGTTTGTGCGGAATGATAGAGAAAGCTTGTATCCCCAAAATGCCAGCAAAACTGACCACATCCAACAATGCAAAGATCAAGAAGACGAAATAACATCAACAATATCCCACTCTGAAAGCCTAAAATCAGTAAGTATGGGTTCTGTTACAGTGTACAGACACACACACAAAAAAAAATATATTCCCTCTCCCCCAAAATGTTAGTCTAAACACCCATACATTAAATTTAAATAAAATTCGTTAACTGTGGAGATAACACTTGGAGAACATATAGACACCAGTACAGCATTATACACTGCTTAGTACAAAGAACAAATGCAAGTTATGATTAACTATACATTTTTGCTCACTTGAGAAAATTAATACTGTTCAATCCACAATTCTCAGTTTTTATTAGAATGCATGAAAATGCATTCCTCTTGAGATTTTAACCATCTCAGTGACATAATTACTGAATGAAAATTTAAAATTGTACTCCATAAATCAGTAGTAGGCAATTATGATCACCTAATGCTTGACAGAAAGCGGTACACATCTGATGAAACAGCACGTGTTTATTCTTCAAATAACCAATGCAACATAACAAGGAAAGCCAAACACAATGAGAAAGTGGCGACAATCTTGCTTTGAAACGTTGCAGGCATATAAATGTTTCGAATTCAGCATGCTGTAACCTCGCCTATGGGAGAATTCTTAGCTCTCATAAATCATCCTCTACATCTTTCAGTCATCTCAGTCTGGGCCTTCACATTTTTCTTCCAACTTCTGATTTACTTAAAAATGTTACAATGCTAAAACCTAAAATAGTCAAAATTAAATCAACACAACAAAACCCTCGCCAAAACCAACTGTCTTCCAGTTTAGTGGGGCACAACCACACCGATGGAAGTTGATAACACAAACAACCAAAGAGGCAAAGTAGGACGTCACAGTATGCCGAAGGCTGGGTAAAAAAGCATTCTTATTGACCATCATAAACAGCATCATAGCACTAAACGTGAATGCACTTGTCTATGCCTAACCGGCGTGTCGTACATATATTGATCGTCTCGAACACGTCATACGTCGGCTTCGATTCTGCCATAAACATTAAATTACTTACGTTTGTGCACCGGAAAAGTGTCACCGCACTGGCGTTAGAAACCCCACAATATTAATTGATTCCAGCAGTTTGACAGGCCTAACATTTTCCCACAGACATACCGTATATCTGATTGGCTGATATCCTCGCCAGATTCCACTACAAATTCCTGGAAACGTTCAATACCACAGATTAATTCTCACACAAACATGTAACTCAATAAACCTCGCTGCATATGTGGAGACACCTACTGTCCTCCCGTATACTGGAAGACAGAAGCCGCGCACTACGGCTTGCCTCAGTCGGTAATAACATGACTTTCTATTCGATCGGGATGTTATCCTCCACGGCGACTTTACCGTAACACACCAATAAACTACTACAGAACCGCCATGTTCTACACCAGAAGTCTCATACTCCGTGTTCTGGGTCAATGTGTATTGGGTTTATTTGCCAGTCTTACTTCGCTTGTGTCCTACCCATGTACTGAGAATGATCAGGAGTGTCTTAATTGCAAGTGTAAACATGCTATTAATAATATAAGGGGCACTTCCTCTCCACGAAATGTACTTTATCAGTATAAAGCAGCTCTTAGGTAAAGAAGTCTAATGTTCGTACGTTTAAGGACAATTCAGAACGACAACAGTAGAATAAGGAATTTGTCTGTTCATAAATAGGTATTTATATTTGAGATTATAACTTATGTTCAACGCTCACACTCGATCATATATAAAATATTGCTTTTCAGGACTGGAAAATTTAATGTTCACAGGTCTACGCAGAAGGACATTTTGAAGCACTATACGAGTATGGTGTAGCTGAAAATATTTACAGTACAACTGTCGTGGAAACATGCTTGTTTGACGAGCCTTTACTCAGAAATAGCTGCTTATTTCGCGGTCGTTGCCTAGCAACAGGACTACATGCCACAATATTTTTACCAAGTTTCATAAATACTTGTACGGGCGTCCAAGCAAAATTAAGGTTTTGCCTCCGCAATTTGAATGGCTACAATGTTGGTATTACTGATGGAAGGGAATTGCAAGTGTGCCGTTGAGATCGGCTCAGGTGGCATGATAAACCTACCAAGTTTCATGACGATTCGTACGGCCGTTCATGCAATATTAAGGTTTAGTTTCAGAATTCTGAGAGACTGCAGTATTTACGTTTTGAGCCGTTGATGTACCTTCATATAGCATTATATTCTTACCAAGTTCCATGACGATCGGGTCAGGCTTTTAAGTAACATTACATTACAGTTATTACCCCCAACAATTTGAGGATGTAATATTGGTATTACAGATTGAAGGGCACCGGGGTTACACAACTATTAACTGCTGTTTGAACTAACCACACGTGTTAGTTGTTACCTATTTTACCGACTGAGCTTGTAACATGCTACCTTTCGTAGCAGTTTCAAAGGATGCAAAAGATGGCAGAATGACATATTCATCTTCACTGCGGGTACGTTGTCAGCCTGAGTTACACATCTATCCCACATCATGGACCACAGCTTCCAGTCTCGCAAAAAGGTGAGCCATGTAGGTTCAGCAGATTATGTGCCTCGCGTCGTGACCTGTCTTCATGAACAAGGTGACTTTCTGTATCTGTGTATGTCTTAGCGTGTAGTGTCATTAGAACCACACTATAAACATGTCAATACTGGGATTGACCCAGGCCGCACAACCTACGAACTGTAAACGAAGTTCTACGGGAAATGTGATTCTAAAATCAGTTTAAATGGAATTAAAGTGTTTTAAAAAACTTGAAATTTGTCTTGGCAAATTTACGCATCGATCATTCATCTCGTTTCTGTGATATAACAGGTCGACTTCGGGACACCAAGCATATGCTGTTCAAATCCCAACGAGTGCACAGTAGATTCATTTCGGCCAATTACCCGCCAAAAGTACAAATGTGTGGATTTCTATGCCACTACATGTGGTGCCAAGAATTTTGTGTGCCGTTGTGTCCTTGTGTATGAAACCCCGTCTTAATATTGTCTCGTGTATGAGTTACAATAGACGGTGTTTTGATTGGACATTGGATTTACTGACAACTTACAGATCGTAACTGGAACTACAACACTGTCGCTAATGTTCACACTTTACAAATCATTACAGCACACGCTAAGTCGTTCAGTCTACTGTTTCTTCATCAGTCGTTCTCTGGTAGCGGTTTCTAACAGTGGATATTCTTCAATTTCCGCGCTCACTTCGTTGCTAACTGCACAGACTAAATCTTCTCTTGGCCGTGCCATAGATCATACGGTTATTCGCCAGTTTCCCACCGCGGCGGCCCGGGATCGATCCCAGGTCAGGTCATGTGGGATTTGTGGTGGACAGAGTGGTACTAGGGCAGGTTTTCTCCAAGTACTTCGGTTTCCCCTGACAATTCTCATTCTACCAAATGCTCTATACTCATCTATCATCCGGGTCTGGTACAATAGGCCAATTAGTGGTCAAAGTACCAAGTGGACTCAGTCTCACCCCACCCCACGACCAGATATTTATTACTGTTTGTCAGTTACAGTCTTGTTATTGTGGGGCGCCCTCTCTGATGAGACGACGGGTCTGTCTTTTGTCAGGGTCATTGTCTGCAATAGTTAGTCATTTGTCAGGGCCGCGCCATAGCTCAAGCGGTTAGTCGCTGGCTTCCCACCGCGGAGGCCCGGGTTCGATCCCGGGTCTGGTCAAGTTGAATTTGTGGTGGACAAAGTACTTCGGTTTCCCCTGCCGATCTTCTTTCCACCAATTGCTCCACAATCACCCTCACCTATCATCTGGGGCTGGTACAATAGGCCAGAAGTGGCCGCGGTACAAGGGACTTAGTCCCACCCCACTAGCAAGAAAAGAAACATGTATTGTCGTTATACTACGTATGTAAAAAGGCGTGTTCACTTCTAAGATTAAATATTAACTGTTAAAATGTTAAATCATTAAAACTAAACGTATGTAAAATGTTTTCTTATGTTTTGTCTGCATGTTGTCTGTAGATGACACAGCTTTTTGCGCTCTGTTCATGGAGAGACTTCCAATCTTCCTTCTTCACTAACAACCAACCAAATTCCGATGACGGACTCCAGCGCCTATATCTAAGAGACGATTAATCAGTCTTCTTTCTTACCCTCTTAAAGACCTTGAGTCATTTCGTGGTCTTCAGTAGGCACTACAATCTTCTTGAAGGATCAGGCAGACGAGATGAGCCTCCCTCCCTAGTGGACACGAAAATGACATAATTGCAACGGAGAACCAAAGGTATGGAAGTAGTGTGCGATCTGGCAACGTGTTGCGTCGAAACGACAAGCCAAAAATATGAAAGCGACGCTACCACCTGGCCATGGGCGCCGCCAGGACTTTTTTTTTTCCAAGGGGCGCAGCCAGAAAATTTGCTTACATACTTGCGTCAGTCATGGCTGTATTGAAACACAATCGCACCACAACCTACATCACAATCGTCTTATGCTTTAAAATTTTTGTAATTAACATGAAATAATTTTATTTCAATTTCGATTACTTCCAAAAATTCAGGGAGCGAGACAGATGCCTGCCGCCATCCATGCATCTGGCCGACAAATGACTGTCGCCCAATACCGTTTCGAGGAGAACAGCGTTGAGGACTGTTAAGGAGTTCGTTTAGTTTTGGGCGGACTGTATATGACACATATGATTTGTCCTCATGCCACTGCCTGGCTATACAAATCGCTTACTCGCCGTAAATTGTTGGAATTTCCATTGACCGTGGAAACGGAATTTCACAGTATTCTCTGTTTTCGGGTGCAGGCATGTATGAGTTCCTTAAACTATGCTGTAAGTAGAAATAGATATAACACAAACTCAGCCCATGGAGCTTACAAATCAATATGGCGCCGCGGTAAAGTGAGACTCCCTGCACCCGCCGTGAAATGAGTCATGATTCTCTGGTCGTCCAGCCCGTGGCCTAGTCACTGAAGTGACAGGGCAAGTTCGCCTCGCAAACCATTCACATATTTTATCCAACATTTTTAATGTTGGCTTCTGTTTCAATACGTCTACTTGACTGTCAAACGTAAGAAACGTGTCAAAAACGTTATTTTCGGGCTCAATTTTTCGCAGTTATTGATGTCCCACAAACATTAACCCAACAATGTTTGAATTGCTTTAACTGGATTTCAGTGTCTCTAACTTTATTCTTGAAATCAGCAGTGGATCCAGTGGAAGCGGTAGAAACCAAAATTGACGCCCTATCCCAGCATTTTCATGAAGAGGCTGGTGAGAACCACAAAAAAACTTCGGTCAGGCGAATCACCGAGCTGAGATTTTGAACCCAGGCGGTGGAAGCGGTAGAAACCAAAATTGACGCCCTATCCCAGCATTTTCATGAAGAGGCTGGTGAGAACCACAAAAAAACTTCGGTCAGGCGAATCACCGAGCTGAGATTTTGAACCCAGGCGGTGGAAGCGGTAGAAACCAAAATTGACGCCCTATCCCAGCATTTTCATGAAGAGGCTGGTGAGAACAACAAAAAACTTCAGTCAGGCGAATCACCGAGCTCAGATTTTGAACCCAGGCCTCCAAATACAAAGCAAGAATGGTTTCCTGACATCTGTTTAAGCTCTAGAATGACTGAGGAAAATCATAAATACCCCTGAAAAATAGGTGTCCCGGCCGAGAATCGAGCCGAGCGTCTCATGAAAAGCCTAACAGTGTTGGACTTCTGATATCTTCATGAATTATTTACAAATTTCACCATAAATATATTTAAAGTTTGTAAAACTCTCTACATATTTCAATACTAATAATATGAATAATGTGGGTGTTAATAATCAATTCACAATGTAATTAATTAAATATATTATTTTAAAGCCAATCATATTACAATTCTTTATGTAAGATGTACATTTGTTATGAAATACAGTTTTAAATATCATTATGTATATAAAGTAAAGCTATCCCTGTAACAGGCCATGGAGGCCAGTAGGGTTGTGAGATGTCAAGGATCCCACATTTTCTAGACAGTCTGCTCAGAAACGATGGTGAGGTTGTCAGCCTTACGAGCCGGCCGCCTTTTAACACCAGGAAGATATCTGGTACTCGTTATTCGCATCCAGAGACCTCTAAGGAAAATAAATTTCTCGTTTTATGCATCTTCCTACTGTGAAACTTAAGTCAGCCAATTGGTATGTAAACACAGTGTGATCCATTTAGAAACATACCTTAAAACATAGTATTTTAAATCTCTGTGTTCATTGGCAGCATCACCCAAGCTCCAGGTAACCCTGGTCAGATTGTTTTCTGATGTGTCTCAAACAACGCCTGTACCAACACAACCCAAAAGCATAAAACTGAAAGCAAGTCTTCAAAATACCATCTGCAGCATCAAGGTCCACTGTCTCTCAGACACAGTCAAGAGGATTTATTAGAATGTTCCTGCAAGTTTCGTGAACACTGATTTATGTTTCATGTCCCGTCATATAATTATTACCTAATCAGAATATGACTATTTTTGCCTCATACAGAAGAGTATTCTCTTGAAAAATTAATTCATTTCCACTGCATCATTCTTCCTGTTGGCAACATAACAGTAGATTTTGAAGCCATTCGTTGCGGCTAATTTCAATATCCTTTTCCAGACTGTCTCTCCTTGTTTTCCATAATTGTGATACTTATGTGAACAGTCATGAACAAACAGCATAACAGGAATATTCTAACTGCAATTGGCAAACAGTCATCCAGACACAGCAGGTATGTGACAACAGCAATGAGCAAACAGGTACAAAGACACAGCAGGTATGTGGTAACAGCAATGAGCAGACACAGCAGGCATGTGGTAACAGCAATGAGCAAACAGGTACACAGACACAGCAGGCATGTGGTAACAGCAATGAGCAAACAGGCACAAAGACACAGCAGGTATGTGACAACAGCAATGAGCAAACAGATACAAAGACACAGCAGGTATGTGGTAAGAGCAATGAGCAAACAGGTACACAGACATAGCAGGTCTATGGTAACAGCAATGAGCAAACAGGTACACAGACAGAGCAGGTCTATGGTAACAGCAATGAGCAAACAGGTACACAGACAGAGCAGGTCTGTGGCAAGAGCAATGAGCAAACAGGCATACAGACAGAGCAGGTGTGTGGTAACAGTAATGAGCAAACAGATACAAGTATCTTGAAACATCAGTGAGTATACAGGCATACAGAGAAAGAAGATATGTGGTAACAGCAATGAGAATACAGGTACACAGACAGAGCAAGTATGTGTTAATATGTAGTAGTGACCAAACAGGCACACAGACACAGCAGGTATGTGATAACAGCACTGTGAATACACATACATGGACACAGCAGGTATGTGCCAACAGCAGTGTGAATACAGGTACACAGACAAAGCAGGTATGTGCCAACAGCAGTGTGAATACAGGTACACAGACACAGCAGGTATGTGCCAACAGCAATGAGAATACAGGTACACAGACACAGCAGGTATGTGCCAACAGCAATGAGAATACAGGTACACAGACACAACAGGTATATGCCAACAGCAACGCAAATACAGGTACGCAGACACAACAGGTATGTGCCAACAGCAATGCAAATACAGGTATGCAGACAAAGCAGGTATGTGCCAACAGCAATGTGAATACAGGTACACAGACACAGCAGGTATGTGCCAACAGCAATGTGAATACAGGTACACAGACACAGCAGGTATGTGCCAACAGCAATGAGAATACAGGTACACAGACACAGCAGGTATGTGCCAACAGCAATGAGAATACAGGTACACAGACACAGCAGGTATGTGCCAACAGCAATGAGAATACAGGTACACAGACACAGCAGGTATGTGCCAACAGCAATGAGAATACAGGTACACAGACACAGCAGGTATGTGCCAACAGCAATGAGAATACAGGTACACAGACACAGCAGGTATGTGCCAACAGCAATGAGAATACAGGTACACAGACACAGCAGGTATGTGCCAACAGCAATGAGAATACAGGTACACAGACACAGCAGGTATGTGCCAACAGCAATGAGAATACAGGTACACAGACACAGCAGGTATGTGCCAACAGCAATGAGAATACAGGTACACAGACACAGCAGGTATGTGCCAACAGCAATGAGAATACAGGTACACAGACACAACAGGTATGTGCCAACAGCAATGAGAATACAGGTACACAGACACAACAGGTATGTGCCAACAGCAATGAGAATACAGGTACACAGACACAGCAGGTATGTGCCAACAGCAATGAGAATACAGGTACACAGACACAACAGGTATGTGCCAACAGCAATGAGAATACAGGTACACAGACACAACAGGTATGTGCCAACAGCAATGAGAATACAGGTACACAGACACAACAGGTATGTGCTAACAGCAATGTGAATACAAGTACACAGACACAGCAGGTATGTGCCAACAGCAATGTGAATACAGGTACACAGACACAGCAGGTATGTGCCAACAGCAATGAGAATACAGGTACACAGACACAGCAGGTATGTGCCAACAGCAATGAGAATACAGGTACACAGACACAACAGGTATGTGCCAACAGCAATTAGCAAACAGGCACAAAGATAAAGAAGGTGTGGTAACAGCAGTGAACAAACAGGATCATGGTCACAGCAGGTAGGTGGCAACAGCTATCTCTAAGCAGGCTTGCAGACACTTAAGTTACAAATACATTAGATACAAATTTATATTCCACAAATTTTGATAAAAATAATTTTGCTCCGGAACATATTTGCCAAAACACACATACACGTATATCATCATGTCCACAGGTGTCTTCATTTTAACTAACATTATACATTAATATCAAATTTCGTGAAAATGCATTCAACAATTTTCAGATTGTTGCATGCTGACAGAGAGATACAGGGACAAGACATTGTATTTTGTTCCCTTCACACTGATGTCTATACATTGAGACTATAGATAAGATCCAAGTGATTAACTTTTATTGCTTAGACATTACATAACATAACAGGCATATAACAAGTCGTTTTAATCTCATTTAAACCCACACTTGATGAAAAAGATTCTGAACCTCGCATATAATTTTGAAGTAATGCAATTTAATTGATTTTAAAGTATTTTGTTAGTTTTATCCTGAGGTAATATTTTAAGACAATTTAAAAATTTAATATTGAATGAGTATGAATAATATGAAGCAGGCTCCATTGCCTATACCATGAATCTGAGATATGCATCATCAACCTTATAAACAATTCAACCGATTTCGTAAACTTCTGAATATGGAAATTTATCATCGAAATATGTCTGATAAAAATATACGACTTATTATTATATTGTATAAAACTGATATATCGATGTATCAGATGTTAACTTCAAATTAACATTTCCATCAGAAGTGAGAGGACCATGAAACCAAACCATAATTATCCGTCACAACTCTTTCGTGTATCCCTAAGAGTTCTGTGCTGAAGAGACTTTCTGCCACCCTTGGTTCTGCGTGCTGTAAGCTGTCAGTGGGAAGTCTCTTTTGCTTTCTGTAAGGTAGAGCCTGTCTGAAACTGCATCTAGGCTACATATGTGGAATCCTGCGTTTACAAGAAAATGTCTGGATATCGAGATGAAACTGACATCCAGCACGTAATATAAGGTGCTCTCTAGAATGTCTACTTGAGTCTACGGACAAAGTCACGACTGACTGGTAGCCCTCCAGCTGTGTTCTACTGGAGTATACAGACACATGACAGTCATGACCGACTGATAGCACTCCTGCTTGGTATTTTGGGAACCCCAGGCTTCAAACCTCGTCTCGATGACATCAGTTCACCCAGCAAATCCAAATTAGTAAATTAGGCCTGATTTGCTTCTTTGTAAACCCTTTCTAATCCATTATGCACTTATCGTCCTATCATTCGATGGTATACAAACCATACTATTGACAGTGTCACTGAATAAACGGTGTATAAATAAATGAATTGCACTGGAATAATTTTTGTGCAATTTATGTGCAAAAGAACAAGAATTAAGACGTGCAGTCAACAAAACATGAGCAGAATACTTTACCGGTCTCTTGTGAAAGAGCACGCGGTACTGTAGTTGGTTGAGGCAGTATGGTACAAGCCGGAAGGTCTCGGGTTAGATTCCCGATGGCGATGAGGTAATTGTAACTGTATATTTTCAATTGACCTAACCATCCAGCCGCACTGCGGCCCTGGGTTCCACTCAGCTTCTAACAGAAATGAGTACCAGGAATATTCCTAGGGGTAGAGGGCGGACGGCGCATAAGGCTGAAAACCTCACTGTCATCTGTGAGCCGCTTTTCTAGAAAATGTGGTAGCATTGACGTTTCATAACCATATGAGCCTCAGCGACCTGTTACAAGGACAGCTTTACCTTTTTACCTTTACCTTACCAAAGAGAGGAAATGTAGATAAAATACTGAGGTAAAGATTTCTTTGGCCTTCTTGAATGTAACGCTGTGTCGTTCAGGGTAGAAGATGCAGGTTCTGAGAGGTTGATATCTACCAAACTACACGGCGTTGCATCCCAGAATGCAGCGTTTTTCATAGTCACATCAACAATAACCTGAAATCTGATATATTATTAAGATATCAAAGTCCCTACGTTTCGCTGTATGTATTTATTTATGCTGTCAGTGGTTCAGACTACATACCGTCCAATGGTTGGTTGATTAGTGAGCAGTGCATTTGAAAGAGTGTAAAATGAAGTGATAGTGCCTCAATTGAGGTACTATACATGGATCTACCTGAAGGGCCAGAGAAAAACCACGAAAACCTGGGTCAGGATAACAAGCGACCCAATCGAGATTCTAATCAGCACCTCCGGAGTACATGACAAAAGCGCTACTGCCTGTACCAACTTGCTACACAGACATGTCCGTTGCCCAGCAACAGCCCACAAGCCGCATGAGACAGTAACAATGCATTACACGAAAATTGTCTGAAACGGAGTGGAACTGTGCTCTTCCCCGTCCTCGTGGATGCTAGGGGTGATGGCAATAGGAGCTTCCCCTTTCTGATTTCTGCTGTATTCGGCTCCAGCCTCTTTTGACTTATGTCAACAAACCGAAGCCGCTTGTCTCTTGCGCAACCTTCCTGTGAGCAGAATGGCTAAAATACTGAGAGGATTTTTAGTTTGTTGACCGGTTCCACGGCGGCCGGTGCGTCTCTTGCTGCAAGGAGCATGCGAATTTTGCTGATGAATCAGTATGTCTGACGGTCGCTAACGTTAGGAATGAAGCAGTTATAATTCACAGGTCACAGGAGGTGTTGCAAATGCTGTTCATCTCTCTATACGTCCATATCTTTCGCAATTGTTTCGTTAAGAAAACAGAAGGTACAAGAATCTTCTTGCACTTACAGCACACCAGACACCAACTTTCACTGTATGGAACGAGATTTCGTGGGTTAGATGTGGATTCTGTGAACTTCAGTAGCGATAATTTTGCGTATGTATGTATGTATGTATCCCTGCACGTGAATCACGCTTCATCACAAAAGAATGTCAACTTCGGATCGATCACACCTTCGACGACAGACTGTAGAAACCTACTGCAACAATGAACACTGCCAGCTGGATCGCGCGGCCGCAAGGCGTGCATTACTGCTGTTTTTTAGCGCCTAAACTTCAACAGTCGCGTTGCCCTTCTTGCACCAGAGTCTGACATCCCAGTCTCTTGAGCGGGAAGTTTCAGTGATTTTTCTAGTTGTGTGTTCAAGTCATCAAACTTCTCAGTAAACACTCGGAGCTTACATTTTGTTTCTTGCTTATTAAGAGTCGCATTGTTATAAGTTTATTCGCCAAACTGTGAACCGCACTACTCCCCGTGAAACATAATGCCGTCAAGCGGTCCACAAGTTAATTATTTCCCTACATTCTAAATGTTATTGGTCATCGCATATTCTGATTCATCGGAAAAATTTGTATGTGCCTCGCAGCCGGCGGTGCACCGGTAGCCGTGAAGTGCAGCGCTGTGAACCGGTCAACAAAGGTAAAAAAACACTCCGTAGAATTCAAACCTCTCGACATTTGGGACTTGGTCCCTGATGTCCGCACCATCCAGTAAGAGACATGCTGTGTTGCCCAGTTTAAGTCCGCTGTTGCGAGATTCAAAATCGAACATCGTGTGCGCCGATAGGCTTCTTGTGAACTCAGATAATACACCGACGTTTCTAATTTTCAATTTTCTAGCCCAAGCGGTTAGAATTTTGGGTATTTTCTAAATTTTTCTTGTAATCATTGCTTATATTTATCTGAGACGGTCGCAATTTTTATACCACTCCTTGGACAGTACATTCAGGATGCAGGCTAAAATTGATTTTTTACTTGATGAAGCATAGCTTTTGAAACGCTCAGTAGCTATTTTCCAGCCTTTTTAAGAAATCCACAACGTTTTACAGTGTACCGGCATTCTTTATCTCAGATAACGCTGGTATCACCTCATTCTCATTGTCTACTTATCTCGTGCGGACTTCGTAGAATTATGTATTATTTCAGGTCACTAGCTGAACACGTCTGTGTCAGTAATACCATGGGCCCAAGGCCAGGTAAGGATATAACTTAGTAGTTTGCTTTCGTCCGTGATACGAGTGGTGTGTTCAAGGGCTGTTGTTTTCTACTGGGAAAAAGTACTGTGAGTTTTTGTATTACAACTTCTAGCGTTTTTGTAGGCTTAAAATAGTACATACGTCAATTATTTTGTATATAGTTCCTGAATCAAAGTATCTGAATACAACGTGTAGGTTAGCAAGCGGAGGAAGAGTGGCAGTATTCGTTTCAGTAATTATGGTAGTTCGCAAAACAGTGTCAATGTGTATAAAAATTATAGAAGGGCGCCAAAAATGTATACACACTTCAGCGCACAAAATATCTGCTTAAATGATTTATTGATAATCCAGATCTGGAAGGTTTCGACACGTGTTGAACTAGAGCAAGTGTTCGGCTGACTGGCGTATGAACAACCGTGGCCAAGGTGCCCACTGGGATAGCGGCACATGACGTCACCAAGTGTCGGTCCTTCAGTGACCCCCACAAGCAAAGGTGTATGGGCTTTAAATCAGGTGAGCAGTGGGGACACTCTTCGCCCTATCCACTGAACTGGAAGGGTTTCATCGGGGTAGCTTCTGACGTTTCTGTGGTAGTGCAGTGGTGCGCCATCTTGTTGAAAGTAAAATGGCTCCTTCCTATAGAGGTGTTAAATAGCAGATAAAATGGATGTTGAGGTACATACGGCCAGTAACTGTTCCTTTAAAAGATGAACTCTTGTATGACAGTCCACATCAGACAGCGAGTCCTGGTAAATTGACCGCTATGTCCATATGAATGTGTGTGGACTACCTGGAGCCCAATACACAGTTATGGCGATTCGCTGTACTATTCAGCTTAAACGTTACTTCATTATACCAAGCGGTTTTGGTCACGAACCCCTCCCCCTCGTGTTCCTTGTGTTGAAACCACTCACAAAACTGCACTCTTCGAACAGGACCGTCGTTATTCATGGCATGTAACAACCTTTGGATGTAAAATTTTCGTTTAGCATATTTTAGAATGGGCTGTATACTTGACTTGCTAATTCATATCTCACGTGAACATTGTTTTGCAGACTTTCATGGTGATCGTGTGAATTGTTCCAACACTATAGCATAAGAGGCAGGACTCGTTGCTGTGCAACACCTCCCAGATCTTCTTGTGAACATCACGCACTGTACCATCAGCCTCAGATCTGTCACGAAGGCGTGCAATTGTTAATCGGGTTGGAGGTTCCGTTGCAAATGCACGCTGCCACTGTCACTGTCCTACGTTAAACTTTTCTTGCGTTGCTCCAACGACAACAGTTCCATCGCCATTTTCTTCGACTGTCCCGCCATCCGATAAGCGGGACCAGACCCGGGATCGAACCCGGGCCGCCGCGATGGGAAGCCAGCGACTAACCGCTTGAGCTACGGCGCGGCCTAGCCATCTTCATAAACTATTTCCTTAAGAACCGTCTTGTTATATTTCCGTGACCTTGATCCTCAAAGTCACCACTTTACAATAGTTTACCCATCAGAATTCTGTATGTATATTGTGTCAGCCATATGAGCTACATTTACCCCCAACATCCTGCATTCAACTACCATCACAACAGCAGATGACCTGTATAAGTCATACACCTCATCGCGATGTCATATCCGGTCATATCCTGCACGCATGCGCATTTCATTCTGCGATACTGATATCACAAATACACGTACATACAAAATGTTCTAACATTTTGAGGCCTTAAATTCATCTAAATAATATACAAAATTCATCAGAGAAAACGGAGTCTGTATAGCGACTGGCTACGGGCTGGACAACAGAGGGGTCGGTGTTCGTGTCCCGGGAAGGTTAAGAAGTTTCTCCACGTCCTCCAGACCGTTCTGGGGCCCACTCAGCCTCCTCTCCAATGGGTATCGGGAGCTCATTCCCCAGGGTAAAATGCCCGGGACGTGTAGCTGACCGCTCACCTCCAACTAGTGCCAATGTCAAGAATATATGGATATATACATCCAACCCCCCATACGCCTTCTTGGCGTAGTGCTTAATTCGTCAAATGCAGGGACAACTTTACCATCACAGAAAACAGACCCCATTACAATCACCCATCCTAGCTAAGCACAGTTTGGAAGAGCTCAAGCCATCGTCCCCAAATTGTCGCGGGAATACGTGCTTCTCTAAGGTGGGCTAGAGATTGAGACAGCGGCGTCTATATGCATAATATAAATTCCGTCGTAAATGTAACAATTTATTGTAGTTCTAGTCCCCCTTCTTTCACACTACATGTTTCGGCCGCAACTGGCCATCATCGGGTGTATTTTACTTCACGTAACTGTCACACTGCACTCAATATTAGCATTTAAACTCCTGATTTTTAATTGTTCATTGCTGTTGTCAATCGGCACACGATATTCCAGAACTCCCCTTGTCGATTTTGTGAATTATGTTTAAAATCTTTATTAATATTCATACGTCGATTGGTTTAAAATTTTTTAAATTCTAAATTTAGCTTTAATATTTAAAATTTAAATTTAGATTTAAAATCAAAATCAAAGAGGTACCTGCTCTATGCTTATATGTGCTGCAGCGGCTACTTCTTGCTTTCAGCACAACTCGCGTGTTATTTTGTGCAGGTGCTCTGTGTCCGTGCCACTGCTTTTCTTTAATAGGTTTTCTCAGCAAATAGTAAATTGTTACATTTACGACGGAATTTCTATTATACATATAGAAGTGAGGAATGTAACAGGATGCTTAAATATAATATAGTAACTAGCGACGTATAATAAAACCAATCCTAATCGAGGCAGCTGAATAAGGAAGAGGGAACTGGGAACCGAAACGTCCAGAGTATACAGAGTCGAAATAGATGGACCCTTGCAAGTTATGGGTAGCAAAGTCTTCGAAAAAAGAACTTGCAAGACTGTGTAAGGAAAAACAAAAGAAAATACCTGCAAAATAGGGCTGAGACAGAGTTAGAGTAAGCAGTTCAAAAGCACAGAGAGGTGGCAAAATAACAACATGAACAATTACATGGACTAGCGTTCATATGCAGCACGGTTACACAGAATTAATCGCCAGTTGAGTAAGCAAGCAATTGCACAAAATGGCGAGCAACATTGATCGACGAGAGAATGGAGTTACGAAAGAAACCAAGCACACTTAAACTTCTGCCACTACACAACATTGTCCAGGTTAGCTTTGGCTTGCGTACAAGAAATACAAGTCGCAAACAGACCTGAAGCTCTCAATCGGTCACAAAAACGTTTAACCTGAACACATGAATTATAACAAAAAACAGTAAATATTGTAAGAAACTAAAACCTTCCTTATAAAAGTTGTGCATACTAGTACTCACCATGCACCAACACATAACCCTGCATGCAACAGCCAAAGGCCCTTCACTAGACCCCGGTCGCATCAAAACCAAAGAATTTAGGGCAAAAATGGCGCAGACACAATTCCATCGGTCCTACCTGTCCGAGGTCTAGCAAACAAGCGCCACACGGGCAGGGTAGCGACGGAGCAGGAGGGTAAAAGTGCATATAAGGCGTGAAGGGGAAAAGGACGGTTGATTGACCTAAAGGGATGAGGCGTTGCGGGCCATATTGGAGGCAATGAAAAAGAAAGGCTACGTCACGCCAAAGAGAAGGGAATGGCCAGTGACAATTGAGTCTAGAACAGCTCAAGAAAGACCAACCTCTTAATGCTGCTGGAAGTGGTTATCCGTTTATTTAACACTAGAATACATCATCGATTTAATTAATTGCGGAGAGGCGGTGTCCGATAATGCTGTTAAATCCAAATGTTGGCACACCTGTAATTCGGTCGAAAAGGATGCATGCCATTCCCTGAACCTCACGATGTTCGTTATAAGGGCGTGAGGATAGTAATTCCACAAATGTTTCTCCGTGCGTTAAAATCTCCACCCTCAAACAGGTTCACATGCAAGCCAGAGTGCTAAAAATTGTACTTCTTTTTGCTATAGTAAAGCTGTCCCTCTTCTTAATTCATCACCGCGCCATTAAGACGTAATGGAGAGTGGAAGTACAGCTACACGCATTCTAGTATCGGCATATTCATCTACGGCCGCTTTACCTATGAGAAAATAGTCCCCGGTACCCATTGGCTAGAGACACAGAGCCGGTCTTGACGCTTGCCTCTGCCGGGAATCGAACCACGACTGTACGATCGTAGAGCCTGTAGTCTAGTCACTATACAAACTGAGATACCTTGGCATCTCTGTCTTTTCTTTCTTGTATTTGTTTTCCGTTTCCTTAAAACTTTTTTTTTCAATTTAATGCGCTGCTTAACGCAAAACGGAAAGGTGCTCGTTGCCGATGAGTAGCGTAGACAGCAGCATTGGTCCGTCATTCGGCTGAGATGAACCACGATCTTCGAACCGAGATTCAAACCCGCATCTGTACAGCGAAAAGCTAGAGTGATAACTGCTGGACTGTGATGGGCTACCATAATTTGTCACTTCGCCGTTTGAAGCCTGAACATGACAGTGAACTTCCTGCGGTCTAGTTGCAATTGTTAGTACAACTGTCATGAGACAGACTTCAGCTGCCATCCCGGGAGCCTGGGGAAGTTTTGAAGAAACTGATCCAACAACACATGCCATGAGAACCATGCCGAAAATATATCCGAAAGAGAAGGGAAATTGCTTCTATAACATTCCCTGTGAACATGGCAGATGCTACATTGGCGAAACAGGCAGATATGTAGCCGTGAGGCATAGGCACAATCTCGAAGAGGGTCTTCTAGAAAAATCCAAACTAACCCAGCATGCCTATGAAGAAGGTCAAAGGGTAGGCTTGGATGAAGCCAGAACTTTGGAAATTGAACGTATTTTTTTATTGCTAGTGGGGTGGGACTATGTCCCTTGTACTGCAGCCACTTCTGGCCTATTGTACCAGCCCCAGATGATAGGTGAGATTCATTGTGGAGCAATTGGTGGAATGAAGATTGGCACGGGAAACCGAAGTACTCGGAGAAAACCTGCCCCAGCGCCACTTTTTCCACCACAAATCCCACTTGACCAGACCCGGGAACGAACCCGGGTCGTCGCGGTGGGAAGCCAGTGACTAACCGCTTGAGCTATGGCGCGGCCAAATTGAAAGTAACTGCAGGTATAGGAAATACGTCATATGGTATGTTTATCCAAACCAATCAGCCAATCAATGACGGGAATTTCTCCTTAACATCAATGAGGTCGGGATGTGCTAAGTGACTCTTCCTATATTACATCAGTTTTAAAATTCAACGTTTCTTCCACATATGGCGCTAGCGGTGGATGGGAATTATAAAACTTGAAACCTTAGTTTCATCCTCAGCATTCAGCATTCTTAGTGGGGTGAGACAGATGAATTGGTGGAATGAAGATTGGTAGGGGAAACCGAAGTACACGGAGAAGACCTACCCCAGCGCCATTTGGTCCACCACAAATCCCACATGACCTGACCCGGGATCGAACCCGGGCCGCCGTGGTGAGAATCCGGCGGCAAACTTCCTGAGCTACGGCACGGCCTTTCTCTTCTTAATTTACGGTCTCCATACGTCCTTCCATGTTTCTTATTATAAAGCCTCCTGTTGCCTCCCATCGACGAAACCTGAACTCAGATTGTATATTGTCACGTGTAGGGTGGTACCCGTGACGAAAATGACGGGTTCTACTCCGGATGATTGGATTTATTATCACTTTAGCTACAAGTTCTCTTAATCACATTTAAATACAGCGCTGTTGTTGCTTTCCACAATTTACAGTTCACCGTTGCACAGGCACTAGGATCGTCCGTCTTCACTACTCATTTCATGGCAACGGATCTAAGCACAGAAACTAGCACTTCAAATCACTATGAAGTCTTCTTTCTGTTTCGTCTTCTATCACTCTAGAACCTCGGAGCCAAAAATTCTTCTGGACTTACTCCTCTAGCTTACGACTGACTCGTAATTGCCCCTGAACGAATTCTGTCATTCCCTCTGTTCAAAATCAAAGTCACATTGCGACTGACGGTCAATCAGTCAGACAGACTTGGTGTCGAGCCCCAGATATTTATGACCAGATATTTATTACTGTCTGACAGTTACAGTCGTGAGGTGTTTACCAGTCCGTTACTTAGCAACGCTCTGGCCATCCACGTTACAGTATATATTTATGCTGACACAGGTTGTCTGGTGATATAGATTTGCTCATTCTACTGGACTTAGCAGTGTAGCCGCCTCCCACTCTTTTACCTGAGGGCGGAAACACATGCAGTTTCCGAAACATTGTGTTCTTTACAGTCCTTGACGATGGACAAAGGCCAATAACTCCAATCCGAAAACATCAATTAAATTCCTACCTCACAGGGAACACTGTACCCCCATAAGAAAGACCAACCGGTTAATGCTGTTTGGGGAAATATTATTTATGAATTACGACAATCACACGAAATGCACAGTATAGGCAAAATGCAGAGTTTTGAATTACTGTAGGTGATGCGTATAGTTACAAAGTCTGTGGCCTCTGTGGTGTGTGCGAGCTTCCGCTGCAACAATTGCTGATGCGGCAGCAATCCCGATCACTCGGTATCAGGCGCATACAGATCGGGTCTGCACGCGAGAGGGCGCTCAGTCAGAAGCCGAGAGTCCTCGAGAAAGGATAACGCGAACCACTGGCAAGACGGTGTGAGTGGAGACGTGTTCTAGCTTTGATAGCCGGGGATTGAACCCGAGTTCAGTGACTTTTGCCGTTTGTTTCAGCAGATGAAGGTTAACAAAACTAGCTGCGTTTAAACAAGCTCGGTCAGACGGTAAAACAAACAACTGTCGTGTCGACGGCCAAATATTTCTGGTTTCAGCTGTTTCGAACCTGCTCCTCGGCTCAGGCTAGTGCCATTGGCATCATATATATGTGTTTAGGTGGACTTAGTTACTTTCGCACCCATTGACAGAATTTCACGAAAATCTGTAGAAACATCATGTTACAATTGATAATAAATGAAGGGAGTGCCAACTTTTGATGTGAAAAAAATCTAACGGAATTTAACCCATTAGAGCACAGTAGTTAGTATGCATACCATCTGCTTTAACATAAAGAAAGCTGTATATTTGAACTACGCTGTATCTTTATGTGTTTGGTATGATTCTGAGAATAAACGGCGACTTGGTCCGTAAACAAATTGCATGAACTGGCGGGTCTTTCTACTGGAAAACCCGTGTTTTCGCGGGGTATGAAATGAATTCTTATATATCGTTATGTAAATTTCAGCTATAAGATGGTTAATGTAGGCACAAGGACTTGAATTTTGCTTGGTGATGTATCATTAAAATCTGTGCAACTTTGGTTAGGACCGCTTTACCGTCTATGGGGCCGGGACAGCGCAGTCGATATAGCGACTGGCCACGGGCAGGACGAGCAAGAGGTCGGACTTTGAGTCCCGGTAGGATGAAGAATTTCCTACTCTCCATGTCGTCCAGAACGGCTTTGGGGCTCGCCCAGCCTCCTCTTCAATGTGTACCGGAGGTTCTTTCTCCGGGGATAAAGCGGCCGGAGCGTGAAGCTGACCCCTCACCTCCAACTAGTGCCGAAGTCAAGAAAACGTGGATCCATACATACACCCCCCCCCATACGTCTTCATGGTGTAGTGCTTAATTAGTTAAGCGCAGGGAAAACTTTACTGCTTTACCATCTAATGTAAAAACACAACGTAGCGGTCCTGCGCTTTCTGCATAAAGCATTCTTTCGTGAGTAGCTGTGTAGACATGCGGAAATAATTGGTAAAGTCACTTACAACTTCTGTGTGAATAGATTTGTCTCAAGCTTCAAAACCTACAAAGAAGGTGGGGGTTATGTCGGAAAACACTGGTGCCAGGAAAAGGGGGTGGGGGGGGGACAAACAAGGCATCTAAAAAAAGGTGTGGGGGGGGAATACTATACCAAATGTTAAAGTGATTTCTAAATGTGATCCATTTGTGTTTCAATACGGAGACTGACAACTTGAGGGGGCTCAATAAGGCTATTCTGAAAGCACTAAAACGTAAGTTTGAAAGCAAATTTTCTGCCACCCCTCCCCCGGATAAGATCTTTGAGGTGCCCATGCCTGAGAGTTTTGTTAAGTAAACTTTATGGGCCTACTGATGGAAGTAGCGGACGAAAACAGATTGCTAAATTTGAGGTTCTAAAGGCGGTTAAGACTCGTATTTTCTTCCAGACTATGACACCGTGTATTTTGGTAGGTGGGCATACAAGTTCTTCCCTTCCACCTTCAAGATAGAAAAGTGGCACTTATGTTCTTCCGCATCTAAGCTACTTTTTTTCGATGTGAGACGAGTCGACTGTCACGCACAGAGACGCCTGAAAATTGGAAGGTATGTAGAATGTATCTCGAGAAACATTCTAAGGGGGGAAAAACCAGGGATGGTGTGGTGTGAAGGGAGAATATTCTTAAAATGTATCTTGATGTAAAGGTGGACTGGATTAAACTGGCTCAGGGTAGCGCCAAATTGCTCTTGTAAACACGGTTATGACCCATAAAGACAAGCAACTGCTTCACAAATTGACAGTC